CAGAACGACTCCCTCGATGATTTCAAAAGGCTTAAGAACCATTGGACGACCCGCATTTTGTAACTCTTTGAGGACAATGGAGTTCAATTTCTTGTCATTAACCCAGAGCCTCGATACTTTCTCCTTCGATTCCATTCGCCTTCGCGAGCGCGACGAGAGCAGGTTCGGCGGGGACGATAACCGCAATCGGCTTAACTTGATCTGTCGCGGCGTGAATCAAGATGTTGGCGACGACAGCTGCGGAACGATATATCGACTCTAGCTTTTCCAGAGCAATGTATTCACCATTCAGCGTCTTAACCAGGTTCTTCTTCCTGTCGACAATCTTCAGATGGCCGTTTTTGTCAAACTCGCCAATATCGCCGGTCATAAACCAACCATCTTCCGTCATAACCGCTTTGGTCTCTTCTTCGTTTTCGTAGTATCCTTCCATAACGCTAGGGCCACGAATCCAAATCTCACCCTGAGGTGGGTTGTTCTTCGAGTAATAACCTGCCTCTGGAAAATCAACAAGTTTGATTTCGATCGATGACGGGATATCACCAACGGTGTCAATGTTCCATGCCAAAGGATCGCACAAGCTACCCATAGCACTGGTTTCAGTTAAGCCATATCCATTAATCATTGGACATAGAGCCATGGAAAGGAATAATTGTGTGTCCTTGGAAATCGGCCCGCCACCGGTCAAGGCAACTCTGAGTCGACCTCCAGTCGCTTCCTTGACCTTCTTGAAAATGATTGCATCCAAGACGCCTGATCCCGGAAGGCCAGTAGACATCAAGAAGTTTTTGGCTCCAAGACCTCCCCAGAAAAGTCCCTTGACAAGCGCGCCACCCTTGTTTACATTGCCGATAATTCCCTTCTTTACGGTTTCCCACACGGCTGGTACACCAACCAGGACGGTAGGTTTCAATTCACGAATATCGCCCTTGCAGTTACGTACGGACGCGTCCGAAAGTGTCTTGGGGCTTCCGTAACCCATAGTCCCACCCCAAAAAAGGCAAAGATTTTCGAATATAAACTCGAGGATATGCGATTGCGGAAGATAGGTCAGGAGAGTGTCGGTTGGGCCCAAAACATGCCCGACATTAGTATTTGCTCCGGCCACTGTAAAATTGGGGTTAGCAGGTGAGGTTTACTGAGCTAGGGATTCAAAGAAATTATTGACATACTCCCCGCGATAACCATGCGATGCTTCAAAGCCACACCTTTCGGCGGTCCGGTTGATCCTGATGTATACATAATCGTGCCTTGAAGAAGTTACACATTTAATTAGAAAATGAACCAGCAACAATGTACCATGTTGGGTACTTACACAGATCTTCCGGGGTTGGTGGTACCGGATCTACGGGATTTTCTTCGCCAAGCTTCCAGAGATCTTCAAAGTTCAATATGTTGACATGAGGGAAGGCAGCCTTCAGGCTATCAATATGTTCTTGCTTGACCTCAGTTGCCGTGTCGTAGATGACGTGTTTAATATCCGTGGCATTCTTCAAGATACGAGTAAGAGTGGGGATGAGGGCAGGGTCCAGGAAAATGGCGCTGCTATGTGTCTGGACCAGGGAATGATTCAAACCATCCTCTCCCAAGGAGTCGTAGGCGGTCACCGACGTCATTGATTGAGATGAAGCGCCTAGGAGATGTTAGGAGAGGCTCATAAATGTGTGAATGAGGTGCCATCGGAGATAAATACCATGTGCCATTGCCAACCAATGCGCGCTACATCAAGGAAAACGAGTAGAGTTAGCATAATATGCGAGGTAGCTAAGGAAACACAGGAGGATGGAGCCAGCAGGGCCACGATGCTGGTGCCGGATGGCTCACCTCGTAGAAGCAAATAGGTGGAGCCTGCTATTTTTTTTGAGCCCAAGATTCCTGAGACCAGCACCCAGCTGCAGTGCAAGCTTCTCGAATTCGATAAAGCTAAGGTAAGTATAACCGCTGAGCTCGAAGAATGTCCATGCTTTATCGACCTCTTTCTCCACTCCATCCACAATCTTCTTGACTTTCTTATTCTCGACATGGGTCTTAACTATCCGGCGCGATCCGACCGCTTTGGCATCTCCGTGCGTCTTCGTGCTCCATGTGAGGTTATCATAGAGGGTTGAGATATCCGGGTGAGGTGTGCTGATGAGGCCATCCTTAGCAGCAGGATTTCTTCGGGGAATGGTTTCCCCTTCAACCTTTTCGACACCCGGAGCTTCAACAGCAAAGGGAGGTTTCTTGGTCATACGAGGAAAGAGAAAGGAATCCTTTTTGACCATGGTGGCTGAGTTGGCACTGGACGTCTGTCAGACAGCAGGGTTTGGATTCGAAATGGGAGAGGTTCGTAGGCAGCCAGGAAGAGTATGAGCCCTGACTTCGAGGCACTGCACCGAGAAATCAGTCGTTTCAGCTTGGGGCAGAGGGAGAGGGGGGAGCAGAGAAGAAAACCAGAAGAGGATCGAAGAAAGAAGAGGAGAATAAGAGGATTAAAAGGACGGAGATGGGACGAAGGCGGTGGTGGAGATTTGTCGAGCGTAGCCAAGGTAGCCAATCCCGCCAGCACAGCCAGCACGGCCGTGGGAGTTCCTCTGTGCCTGATGGTTCCAAGGCTGCATTCGCCTAAGTAATAGGGACTCAACCCAGCAGATGCTTGGCGCCGATCGTATCTGTGGTATTGGGCTTACTAGCCTGCCAAACTCGATATGATACTGGTACCGCAAAATGAAGGCACATTTGCCGAGGAAAACGCAAAAAGATACTTGGTCCCGTGACTCAGAATATCGCGCTCAAAATGCTATTTAGGAATCCATGAATTTGAGTTTCTGCTGGGATATTTATGAGACTGACTGGGCCACCCAGATTAGATCTAGACACAGCGGGATACGTGGCTGCTTGCTTCAAGTGGATGATCAATGTACACGGAGTTGCTGGGCAGAAGCCTGGTTTTGAAGCCGAGTAGAAATCCTTGGGTGACTATAAATGCCGAAAGCAGCATTTACCTCTCTTTGATTTTGCTTGCGATCCACACAGCACCTGGCGTCCTGCCCTTCTCCTTACATCTTGTGGAGCTTTGCTTTGGTCCATATTCCATAGTTACGCTCGGCAACCAGCTTCAACCTCGGAAACTCTTGTTACCTACTAGAAGGCACAAAAAATACCAACCTCCCGAAATAATCATATGGGTTTATTTGTGATCTGTGGACCAAGGAGGAGCTGCGATTGAGATAACGAAGGGCCCTTAGCTACAAGCTAGCGCATGGCAACGAGTTGACAGGGAACTCTGGGGTTGAAGGGAGCTGCCCAGGAGTTAGCTCCCATTAGCTTATGTCCGATATTGGAGGGCGCAATTCAGATGACTTTGAAGTACAGAAATACTCTTGGCTCTGTTGTCAGTGTGTGTCCAGAATTAATATAATATTTTCATCAAAACAGCAGTCAATGATCTCTTGATAAACCGTAAGGAACCATGAACTCGCATCGTCTCCCAGGTCCTCCACCTCCTAGTGCAGAACCAACTCCCGACCCCTTGGGCCGAGACCCAGACTAATTTTGTCTGGATTACGGCATGGCATTGTTCCCTGTATCTGGGCGAATAGGGGCATCGTTAGGACAGGACAGAGACTTCGCCCAGGCCGCTTTGATTCCTTTCTCTGCAAGTCTCGTCGTTGGTGGATCGGTTTTGAGCCAGAACTTTTTCTTGAGGCGGCGCCTAGGCCGCATCGGGAACAGATATTTCTGTACCATACAGAATGTTCCGTACATCAAGGCGTAACGTAGGAACACAGGCATGTACAGTACACGTACCTGCACCACCATAGTGACATCAAATGCACATGGAATGAGTGACAGCGAGGGGGGCCAAAAAAAGTTCCTGCATAGGGTGCACATGAACAATGATGTCGTTTCTCAAACATGAAACAAATCATTCATCTTTATTTTTAGAGAGTTCCAGTGGGACAGGTGAAAGGGAGAACCCCCAGTTGCGACGGTGAGGTGGCTGGCCAGTATTTGTATGTTGTAAATTATTCAGAGTATATTCTCATATTTTCACTTGAATACCATCTTTCATTAGGGGCTTTGAACGATCGAGTGACGCCATGGTGCTTTGGCTTGAACTGATCAGCAGCTGCTGGCAGCGAGTTGAGACAAATGAAGAAACGGTAGCTGGAGTGACTGTCAATCACTATCATTAATCTTGCTTTGAATGTGCTCCTCTGCATGACATGAACCTCGGCCATGAATCGTACTAGAAATTTAGGTATCAAAATATTTCGCAAGTCTTCAATCGCATGGACTGTGTATTCAAAGGGAGCCTTGCAATGCTCACTGCGGTCAGAGCTGGCTGATGCGCTCAGCCAATCACTTCCTCTGATACCTGAACTTTGATCATCTGGCAAAAGAACTTTTTATTCGAAGTGGAACCAGGAAATTCAGTCGTTAAACTCCTTGATGATCTTGAGCGGGCCAGCGCTTTGAACTACCACAAAATCGATGGCCCCTTTCTTGGCCAATAGCCAGACTCTGGGATAAGCCTACGGAGTACCCATCACGCAACGTCCCCAAATACAGTGGACTCTTTCCACTACTGCGAAAATACGCGGCTTCTGTGAAAACCAAGGCTTGAACCACCACAAAAACACCAAATTCGACGTAAAAGTGCTCAAATTTGTTTGACTGACGGCGAAAACCCCATTCTTGTCGATTTATATACATTACAAGCATCACCATGAGCTCGAATGAAACTGAAACTTAATAATAATTATGGATTAGTTATTTGAAATCTATATTCTTACGACACAGTCAAGTCAAATATTGCCAGGGTCTACTTGAATGTGAAAGTGGATAGAAATTCAAGGTCAGATGTCCTAGCCACGGCAAATGGTGAGCATCAACGTTGGTTAGAACTTGGCAGGGCTTGGATAGAGTTTAGGCCCTTTCCTACCTTACTTATTTCACTTTCTCGGCCACTTTGCCCAGAGTACTCTATAACCACCACGCCAACTAAGTAGGAGAGAATACCTCCAAGACAATAAGACAAACACAGCAGGTAATTTCTCATACTAAATTAGCGTAGCTGGTACAAAGTGGCCGAGAAAGTGGTGTGCCGAGCCTATGCTAAGTACAGTGCAATTTTTCCAAGAACTAGTGTTCACACGGCTGACGTGTGATCGATATGTCCCGTCCTCAATGCCAGTCACGGAAAATATCGAAATAATAAGGTGATTTTAGCCATGATGAGAATTAGTTTTTTCAACCAACGTTCAACTTTTTGATAGTTAACCGCATATAACCAATGAATAAAAATTCTACCCGAGTGTAACTCCACGGACTTGGTAATGCTTGGCACCAAGATCTTATTGTTGAAATCCATTACCGCCGAAGGTAATCCTTTTCACAACTACATACAACCATGGCCCATGATCAACCTATACCAAATTCATTACTGGTATTCTATTTATTCTCCTCTATAGTACTAGTACTGCTACAGGAGGCGCACTAAAAGAGTGGATATCAAACAAGGGATAAAAAAAAATTATCTCGCCTAACCCAGTCCATGCTTCCCTTGCTAGCTGCCAAAAAGTAAGAGGAGACGAGCTCACCTGGCTAAATGTCTTTACTTGAACATTTATTTGCTTCCGCGGATGTTGTCTACAAGAACATGGTGCTTCCCTTCCTTTTTATATTATACCATATAGTTGATACGGAGTACTCACGGCGCTATCATTATCAGAATCAGAGGACTCGGAATATCAAGAAAAGGAGGGGCACCTAGCTAACGTTCCTGACACATCCAGATGCAAACCAAAAGGAATATGAAAATGTCTATCCGCTTTATATACATGGAGTGACATTTGTCATCTACTATCAGTCGATGATGCACTTCGAGGAATTCTTAAGGGTGATTGGCCCTGAGGTCAAAGATGCTGAGGAAGGTACTTCAAATCCAGCAGTACATCCATGGGATACTTCGACATTCGCAGCAGAATACTGAACAAAGCATCTGCGCTCTTTATTTGAGAGGAAACCGTAGAAGCCTTTTACCTGTACTCGCAGGAATTCCCCTCACAGAACCTTGGATTTGTTGATTCGCGCGCCAACACCGTCGACTTCATCATCCACGGCCGTGATTTTCAAATTCGCCAATCGCCAACTATCCTCTCCTCATCCCGTTCAGGCGGAACTACAGGCGCAGGTATGTGTTTTTATAAAGCCATTTCATTCTATACTGGTTTACCTTTTGGTGGTCTACGTCTTTGCAAAGAAACATCAACGTTTTCTAACGTAGCCGAAATAAACTTCCAATCCCATCTGCTTTCAGTGTTATGGAAAATCACCCCTTTAATCGCAGAATGGCTCTCCTCCAAACAAAATATCCTCTGGACATCATCAATCTTAAACCAGAACTCTACAGTCGTCGAGCTCGGCTGTGGGATCTCGGGGCTTATCGCCCTCACCCTCGCCCCATCTATCGGCCATTACATAGCCACAGACCAAGAATACGTCCATAAATTATTAAAAGAAAACCTCAAAGAAAACACTACAACCAAAGTCAGTGCCACAACTTTGCGGCGTAGTGATAACCATCACCGCCAGTCGCGGCGCGGCTCCCATAAATCGCCAACAACCCAATCTTCGAATGCAAAACACTCCGCATCCCCATCCCAACCTGCCCCGGCCACCAACACGGGGAACGTAACCTTCACCGCGCTGGACTGGGAGCTCGACTCACCTTCCACCCTCAAACAAGTCATCATGCCCTCCTCCTCATCATCAGCCAAAGTCATAACAACCAAAGGGGGGAAAGGAGAAGAAGGAGAAGAAGGAGAAGAAGGAGAAGAAGAAGAAGAAGATCCCGGCTTCGACCTCCTCCTCTCCTGCGACTGCATTTACAACGATTCGCTAATCGACCCATTCGTGCAGACCTGTGCAGAAATCTGTCGTCTGCGCCCTGGCTATACGCCTACGTCTCTATCTAATGGCACATCCCCACTGACGCTGCTTTCAGCGCCTCCACCTCTTTCCATGAAAAGGAGGCCAACTATATGCATTATCGCGCAGCAACTGCGGGCGCCAGATGTATTTGAATCGTGGCTAAAGGCGTCACTGGAGGAGTTTTGGGTGTGGAGGGTTTGTGATGAAGTTCTTGAGAAGGGAGTTGGAAAAGGAGAGGAGGAAGGCTTTGGCGTGGGTTTGAAGGCTGGGTCAGGCTATGCGGTTCATGTGCTGGTTTTAAGGGAGTAGGGCAATTTGGTATTACGTATGTACGCCGACGTACCTAAACATGTGTATTGAATAGTTATTAAGTATAGTGAAAGGAGGTAAGGGGGGTTATGTAACAGTTTGATGTGTAGCTATATAATATATCTGGGCTTTGGAAAGATCTGGCTATCTCGCTATGATTCGTTCGAATGCATCACACCACCTTTTGAGACAAAAACAGCCGCGGACCAAGTTCTCCGCAATGGCTACACCGGGCACCAGATTTCTCTCACCACCAAAACCAGGGGATTTTCTATAATTAGTTAAATGCACGAGAATCACAATAATTCGTCTTGTTCCTGGCGATATGATTTATTCCTTCTGGCATTTGTACGCCGTGAATCTCTTGTGGAACGCTTCGCCCTCCTTGCAGCGAATTTCAAGTGGCTGTAAGCGCTGGCCAACAAAAAGTTCATCAAATCATTCCCTTTGTACGGAGTATGTTTCCATCCATGAATACTGGCGGGTACAACCTATGTAACTGGAACAATCTAATTCAGGAAATGGTTCAACTCGATCAGAAGTCTTCAGGCTCCCATACTTGGATCATTACCGCCTCGTCTTTGTACATTTACGAATAAAAACTACGTCCCACTAACAGTTACTGCATAATTACCCCTTGCTTCCTACTTTTTCCTCTCCTCAGGCTTCCACGTCGTTTCAACCTCAAATGAATCCTTCCCAAGTTCCTCCCAGTCCAGCCTCCCCCACCTCTCCGGCTTCTCCAACGCATCCACAAAATGCTTCATAGCCAACACAGCCTGACCCGCCCATCTCTCCTTACTAACTTTCCCTACCCCAACCGCCAACGGGGGCATTAAGATCCTATCAATCCTCCTCCTCCTCCTCGCCTTCTTCCCCTCCTCCTCCCCGCCATCCCCTCCATCCCCTCCATCCCCTTTCCTCTCTGACCTCTCGATTCCACCTCTCCACCTCCCCCATCAACGACCACACACACTTATAAACAACCTCCCGATCCCCACACCACATTCTCCGGCATGCGCATCGTCGGACACAGCGCCACCCACCTACAGCCCCCCAGCGCCTTCCCCGCATTCACAATCTCTTCCGGAAACGGTACCAGTGTGCAGGTGCCCGGCGGCGCATAGCCGCGCCAGCGCTCGTAGAGCATTTTCTGCGCAGCACGCGTTAAGGTGAGGTACGGGTGGTCGGGCAGACAGAAGGTGCGGGAGATGGCGTCGTCGAAGGCGCCGTCAAGACGGCCATAGGAATTGGCGGGGGAAACGACGAGGTCGAAGGGTTGGGTATGTGGGATGGCGTTAAGGCGTTCGTTGAGGGGGATTATTTTTAGCTTTTGCTCGGCTTGTTGGGTCGGTTGGGGGGAGGTGGTGGTGGATGAAGAAGGGGAGGAGAAGGTGACCGCGGGCCAGTGCTTGCGGAGGGCGTCCTGGAAGGCAACTATGTTTTCTTTTTCTCTGCAAAGGAGGAGGATTTCGGGGAGGTCGATGAGGGGGTTGGGTGTTGGAGTCGGAGGGGATGACATGATGATGTTTTTCCACGTGTAATATCTGAAGGAAATGGAAGTGTCTCTAAGTGGTTGTCATATGCAGGGTTAAATAGAATTTCGTGGTGTTAAATCGGTTCATCTTATGATGTCAGCGGCTGCAGTTTGAGAGTTGGTCCCCCCGCCCAAGCTGAGGCCGTAAATTATTACCACGGGTGACAACACAGAGCCTTCCTTAGTTAACCAACGTTATGTAAAATATCAGCTTCCAATGAGCGGAGAACTTTAGTCTTTCCGCAAGACTGTCGTCCATCTGTCTTATGTAAATGATTAAATTTTTTTTGAAAACGTCTATCTATCTGCTGACCAACGAGTTTGTGTATCTGGAGCGTTTAGGTGCTAGTTTTGAATATTTGAGACGGTGTCGAGTAAATCACCGTCAAAGAAACATTTTTTCACCTCGTTATCCACTCCCTCTTCTTTCTACTAACTCTAGCTTAACATTGGATACCGAGAGATGCTCCCTTGTATCTGACCACCCTGCTGTCGACAAACGCCTTTCAATGGCATCTCTATGGTGGTGACAGGACAGGCATCCATGGCTCATTTGCTCACGGCTTCGCGAGGAGGAAGGAGACCGTCAGCACACGGAATAAATTAAAACAAAATATATGCAGGGGAATCACTTCTTCTCCTATGCCACGCAAAAATCGAAATAGGTGGGGGGTTGGGGGCTTGTCAACTTGAAAATAAGAGGGGCCAAACGAACCCGACAGCCACAGCCTTCGGCCGGATAACATACCGACAAGTAGACATCGTTGCCGCCTGCATTTTTCTCCCTTCTCTTGCAATCCTCCTAATCCGCCGCCTCATCTCCTTCTTCCTCAGAGCCCTTGCAGTCGTAGAGGCTTGATCAGCCATCAACGGCATTTCCCCCTTCGTCAACCCTCCCGCAAGCCGAATCAGCTCCTCCTGTAATTTCTAAAGTTGATAGTTATGATTGAAATGAATATACGTAAGTTTGCTTTCACTAAATGGTTCCCAGGCAAAGTGAAAGGAAAATTCAAGTGATAAACGAACAAGGAAAAATAAAAACAAAAAGAAGAAAGAGGGAAGTAATAAAATGAGAATAAAAAATACGAGTCAAAGGTCAAATATGTGAACGTACCCGCTGCTTCACATTCGCCCTCCCAACCTCCGCCTTAAAGGCCTCATCCTCATGTTTGCGCTTCTCAGCTACAGCCGTGTCGGCCACCTTGCGTTCGCGTAGGACTTCGCTGCGCTCTACGTATAAATCGATCTTACGCTGGAGGTGCTTCTTGATGCGGCGATTTATGCTGGCCAGGCCGGCTGGTGTCATTTTCCTTATTTTTGGATTTAGCCCCTTTTGATTGCTTTTGTCTGGGGAAAGCCGGATGTTGATTCTAGCACTGATTTCGGAAGGGGGAAGAAAAGTGATCTGTAACGAGAAGGAATGGTGACGAATGAATGATTTCTCTCTGGGGTGGTGGATATGAAAAGGTCAATTAGGGGAGGCCAGAATGGAAACCGGAATTGCCCCGTTTTTATCAGCTATGCATTCGCGTAGGGCTTCGATATCTCGGAACAATAGGTATGAAAATAGCTGCCAAAGCGAAAGGGTGAACGTGGCAGGGGCAGTTTGTAAATGAAAGGCGTTGAGCTTTGCTGGTGTGAATGTGATGAGGAAGCCCATCCACTGATTTTTTTTTTTTTGTCTAGATATGTACGCGCTTAAGAGGCTTGGAACCAATTCATTCGCACAGGATAGAGTGAAATGACTGGGGTGTTTTAAGTCAGAAGTCAGGAGTTCCGTGAATGGGACCTTGTGCTAGATCCGAGCTGCAAAATTGTCAATAGCAGTGAACGATATGCTTGCAGAAATTGAACCTCGCAGAAATCTTCCAGAGTTTCAATTGTATGTACTGTACTACTTACTGTATAGGTACCATTACACCAGCGCATTTGCGGCCGTCCTCTGAATTTTAAGGGGGATAATGCGACCAGGTTGCATTTGGGGGAATGGGGATAGAAGGTATAAGGATAGTTGGACCCATGACTGTCCCGCATGTTGAACCAGTGTGCTAACGGTGACACCAGGAAATAAGAATACAAGGTGACGAAAAGAAGGGTAGGGAGGCAGCAACACGAAGGAGAAAATCATTTACGGAACTAAATAGGTATATGAAAGCCAACTGACAATAAAATACTATAAGAGAGGAGAATGGTAATATTCTAATCGTGGACAACGGAATAGAGGAGAGTGGGTTTCAAGGAGAGTTGAGGGAGGGGTGGTGGGAGGTATATAGAAACCACGCTTCCACGACCTCGTCTACTGCCACCCAAACCAATCCATCCATAGAATTCTCACCCAAATGCTGCGGTCTGCTATACAATAACATATACCTGCGCAAAAATGGTTGGGTCGACTTCGACTCGGTCGGGTTAGACGGGTTCAACCAGCCAACAAATCCAAACTACCTTTCTCCTCTTCCCCGTGTTCCGGCTCGCTTTTTTGTTCGACATTCAGAAAAAACACAACACTTTTTCTGCCTTGAGTTTTACCCACCGCCGCGCTTCCCGCCCAGTTGACAAAAGAAATGAGAAATTAAGAAAAAAAAATCATCATAAGAAAAAGGGAACTTTCTCGCCTTCCCCCTAATCCCTTGGTGACCGTGAACAAAAAGTAATAAAACATTCCCCTGAGACCAGGATAAGAATGACGATGGTTGCTTATGCGGAAATAAAGCAGATGACACGTAAGATAAACTCCAACACCAAGTATGGGGCGCATTAAAAGAAATCAACAGGCTGGTATGTGTACAGGGAAAACTAAAATGGAACGAAAAAATGACAAAGCAACAGGGTTTGTGTGAACATTCACAAAAAAACAATAAACAGAATAAAAGGCCTCTAAATGACAAAGGAAATAGGTTCATTTGACGAAAGAGGGAAAAAAACAGAGTTAAATCGAATCCTTGTTGTTTTGATTGAAAATGTCAAGATTTAACGGGCAAATGTTCATGGTTTCTTCTCGCCCTCGCCACCCTGCTGGTTCTCGGTCGATTGTTGTTGTTGTTGCTGCTGGCCCTCCTCGGAACGAGCCTTGTGCATCTTGTCGAAGAGGGTAAGACTGGCGTTCTGGAGCTCGTCAACCTTGGCCTTCATCTCCTCAGCAGAGATGGAGCCTTCACCGGATTGGCTATTGGCAACAACCTCACGAAGGGCCGCGATCTTCTCCCTGATCTGGTCAGCTTCAGATTTGTCAAGTTTGTCCTCAAATTCCTTGAGAGCCTTCTCGGTATCATTCAAGACGCTGTCAGCGCGGTTGGCAGCTTCAATAGCAGCTTTGCGCTCCTTGTCCTGGGCACCGTATTTCTCAGCATCGTCAACCATGTTCTGAATCTCGGAATCAGAGAGGCCAGAGCCGGAAGCGATTGTGATGGACTGATCTTTATTAGTTGCCTTGTCCTTGGCGTGGACGTGGACGATGGAGTCAGCGTCAATGTCGAAGGTGACTTCAATCTGAGGGATACCACGATGAGCAGGGGGGATTCCAACAAGTTGGAAGTTTCCAAGGAGCTTGTTGTCGCGGACAAGCTCACGCTCACCCTGGTAGACCTTGATCTCGACAGCAGTCTGGAAATCAGCAGCAGTGGAAAAAGTCTGGGACTTTTTGGTTGGGATAGTAGTGTTACGGTTGATCAAGCGGGTGAAAACACCTCCAAGTGTCTCGATACCAAGGGAGAGAGGGGTAACATCAAGGAGGAGAACATCAGTGACCTCACCAGCGAGGACAGCACCCTGAATGGCAGCACCAATCGCAACAGCCTCGTCTGGGTTGACTGACTTGGCAGGCTCACGGCCGAAGATGCTCTTGACGGATTCAGTAACTTTGGGCATACGCGTCATACCACCAACGAGGATGACCTCCTGGATGTCCTTGGCCTGGAGGTTGGCATCTTTCAATGCCTTTCGCACAGGTTCGACAGTTCGGGAAATCAGCGGGTCGACGAGAGCCTCGAGCTGGGCACGAGTCATTTTCGAGTTGATGTGTTTGGCACCAGAAGCATCAGCCGTGATGAATGGGAGGTTGATTTCGGTTTGAAGAGCAGACGACAGTTCAATCTTAGCTTTTTCAGCAGCCTCACGGATACGCTGGATAGCCATACGGTCACCTGAAAGATCAAGTCCGGACTCTTTCTTGAACTGGTTGACAATGTGGCGAACTAGGCTGATATCGAAGTCCTCACCACCGAGATGGGTATCACCGTTGGTGGACTTGACTTCAAACACGCCCTTTTGGATTTCGAGAATGGAGATATCGAAAGTACCTCCACCAAGATCGTAGACTGCGACAACGCGATCTGCCTCACGCTCAAGACCATATGCGAGGGCAGCAGCAGTGGGCTCGTTGACAACGCGAAGCACATTGAGACCGGCAATTTGACCAGCATCCTTGGTAGCTTGACGTTGGGAATCATTGAAGTAGGCAGGAACAGTAACGACACCATTCTTTACAGGTCTGCCAAGATATGACTCGGCAGTCTCTTTCATCTTCTGAAGGACAAAACCACCGATTTGGGAGGGCGAGTATTTTTGGCCCTGAGCCTCAACCCAAGCGTCGCCATTGCTGTGTTGAACAATCTTGTAAGGAACTTCTTTCAAGTCTCGCTGGCACTCCGGATCAATGAATTTGCGTCCGATCAGACGCTTCGTGGCGAAGAGGGTGTTCTCAGGGTTAACGACAGCTTGGCGCTTGGCAGCAATTCCAACGAGTCGCTCGCCATCCTTGGAGAAAGCAACAACAGAGGGAGTTGTTCGTGCGCCTGAAGAGAGGAGGTCAGTTTCCTTTATTCCCAGCTGAGGGATCATCTGGAGTGGGAAAAATAGAACTCTGACCTTCAGCGTTTTCAATGATTCTTGGAGTCTTTCCCTCCATGACAGCCACAGCAGAGTTGGTAGTACCTAGATAACATATCAGTTAGTTTAGAGCAAAAGCCGGCCATAATTGGCGATACACATGAATGACTAAATACTAGAATAGAACATGGTAGAACTCAACGTGAGTAATACGTACCCAAATCAATACCAATGACTTGGCCCTTTACCTTCTCCTCTCCCGCTTCTGTCGAGTTCCATCTCCGAAAGGATGTAGTGGGAAGTTTGTAGGTGGAGGAACGGGCAAAAGAAGGAACAGTGCGAGGAACCTAATTGAATGTATTCGAATCAGTCTGACATTCTTATATCAAGTTGAGCTGAAGCACAAGTGATGACAAAACACATACCGCACGGGAGAACCGGCATGCAAGCATTATGAGAGGTTAATCAAAATTATTATTTTAAGGGATAAAATACAAGAGGAGAAGATAGCGACAATAGTATTACACGCGAAAAGAGAAAGGAGGTAAACACAAAGGCGGAGTGAGAGGAAATGGGAATTTGGGGAGAGTGAGAAGATCATAACGATGAAAACTTGAAAAATTTGAAGAGAGAAAAAAAGCGGCTGCGGCGCTAGTCTACTTTGGGTGATGCGTCGAAAGTGGTGGAAGAGTGGAAAGAGGCAGCGAGTCACGTGTAAGGAGACCAAGGGCGTTAAATTTTCGGTCGGAAAAACATTGGGCGATGCTGTCCTGGATAAAACCACCTGACCAGAGTTGAACAGGGGGCAAAACGTCTTGGCAAAAATTTGAGAAAAGCTTTTTTTGACACCGTTCAACTGCAACCTGTATCAACAAACAACAACAACAACAACAACAACATGCCCATGTTCATGCAGCACCATTAGACTAACAGAGGAGTAGATATTATTTTATTGATAGCCCGTCATCGGACAGGCATTCATTTGATCACCGGGGAAGGTTGGTTTGGTCATGGCGAGTCTTTGATCTTTACCTTACCAATGTACTACTTGCAAGGTTCCCTTCGAGTGGGTGGAGAAGACATAGGACTTGAGAATGTCTATCAAAGACACCTTTAGCAAGAAGATGGCTTTTTCAATGTCTCTTGGGCTGCTCAAGGCTATCAATAAGTATGAGAGGGTTACTGTACTGGAGAACGGTTTGCAGATTGCTGACGTTATAAAAGCTGCTGCACACCAGGTTCTCAAAAAGGTTCTCTGTGAAACTACTCCGTAGAGTAAGATGATATATTCTTTTATTTTGTTTTTTTAACTGGAAATTTTTATTTTCTTTTCTACTCCGTAGTCCACGCTTCGACGCGCTACTGCGTAAGTTTCGGCACTGTAACCGATTGCTGCACCTACAGCGGAATAAGTTTATAGAATATATAGAATATGTTAATATTTCATTTTGTTTCACACTTCAGAACCAGTTAAAGCAGTAAATGATTGATTCTCAAACTCAGTCTATGATTAAAAGCTCAATGTTTTTCAGTTTCTTTTAAAAGAGAGACTCTGATTTATCCACATAATAATACTGAAAATATATATGATTATATCTCGAGTGTTTAAACTCACGATCTTGTGTTACCTATTTTGAGTTAAGCCACACTACTTCAACTCTGAGCAGAATAGCAATAACTCGACTTGAGATTTCATCTTTGGAGTACTTGTCATCTATTTGTTGCTGACTTGAGACGATCATTTATCACCCTACATACGAATAGGCCTGATCGTCTTTGGTTTCAAATAATTATGACATTTATCAGGCAAGCATATGTTGTGTCGTTCTTAAATGTAACAATAATAACTGAGGAAAGAACCGGTTGTCTGAGCTTAAATTCGGGTTCTGCAATCAACGAACTTGCTGACTTTTAAGAACCATCAGCATGCTGACCTCAACTTGACATTGGAGAATTGTCAGCAAAATCAAAAAATCAATTATTACATCATAGTGGTCATTGATAGATTACTTTCAGATCGAATAGGTTTGTATAAAACTACTTAATAACACAGATATTCACCCTCTCAACATCTATTGAAAATCAATAAATATTTATAATTCATTAAGACAACGCCTTTTTTCAAAAAAAAATATTTTGAAATTAAAATCCAATCAAACTCAAAATGAAGACCTTCTACACCTTGGCTGCTCTCATCATGGCCTCTATGATCTCTGCTACCCCTGTTGCCGTACGTATATTAGTACTATCTGCTTGAATATTGATACTGTTGAACAATCAACTAATTATTATTACAGCAGCCGGTAGAAAATATCCCCGCCAAAGATGCTGTTGCTCCTGCTCGACACTGGTTCTACGCTGTTCCAGCAGCTGAAGATGAGGGGTCTGATTAAACGAATACTCCGGCATTTCCAATTGAAATACAACGGTAGACTAAAAGCGAGGAAATAGAGTATACTTTAGCTGGGTAGTTGGGGTGCGACGGTGGCTTGGCTGCGTGGATACGTATCTGTCATAGCTTCTATCCGCAGCTGTATTAGTTTAGTAACTATATGTCGGGAATGAATTGAAGAGAACTATTGAAGTATGCACTTTATTAAAATGGATTAATGATCATATAAATCATATGGAATATATATTTCTAGAGTTGTAGAGTAAGACGAATGAAAACATTCTATTCAAAACTACAGAGCTCAACTATTTCCACTAGTTCTATATCTTCGCTACCATTGCGTTATGCCTCCTCGGTACCACTATTTCTTTGACCACAAGTAGTGGAGGGGTTGTCAATACTTTATGACAGGGCACTGAATATATTTTATATATTCTTTTTACTTTTTTTTTTTCTATTTTTTCTATTTCTTTCTTTAGCCATTAGCTACTATTTTACTAATTTCCTATTACAAATGCTTGTACTGTACTTAACTATTCATATTAATATTTAATTCTTTCTTCTACTATTTATTCTTTATACTGTCTTCGCCTTCTCATAAGACAACTGCTCCAGCAGTATGATTCACTAAAAATCATATAACGAATATATTCGCGTATCCGTATTAAAGATCCTATACTATTTTGCTGTGAACTGGCCCGTCTACAATATCAGTGATATATATGCTGACCGGTTACTTTGATGCTGCAGGTAAACGAAAAAAACAATGCGGTATGGTTTCAAATCAACTAGATTCTAGCTATATTATCTTTCAACTGCGTTAGATTCAGTTCTAACCAATTCTAAACAGATTCTCAAAGTATTAACTAAATCCAACTCGAGTTATCAAATTCAAATATCTTTAGCGAGGTAAATACTGACCATACTATCAACGATATTATACCACGAAGAGGTGAATCTTTGCCAAAGGTAGACACAAAAAATTCTCACGAACATAGTCGCATCAGCAATCCTAATGGAAACCTCAAAAATAATCCTACAGGGTACATTTTGTGATGGTGCAGATGAGGTTTTCAAAGACGCATTGCAAGCAGGCTTTCACTTGAATTGAGGGTTTGATCACTCAATATCTCCCATAGATTCAATTCAGAGACTGCAATTGTCTACACATCTGATATAGCAAACTTTCCTCCCTAGTAACCACGCACTCAGGCTGAGGGTTAAGTTTGACAGGCATTCAAAATATTCAAAAAGCATTAAGAGACGTATCTGCTCTTCCAATGCTCATGGAGCTTGCTCCGACTGCTGTTGAGCCTGCTACGCGTCCTGTCGACGTCGTTTCCCATCCTTTAAAATCTGGGGCAAGCCTCTAAATCTAGTCATCGGCCATTACTTACATGGCAAGTAGAAATTTTCGCACAATAGGCAACAAAGTAGTGAAGATGTGAAGAAGATGCTGATGAGGTTTTTTAACGAAGAGGAACCTTCTAGCAGTCCGGAGGATGATGTCGTTTTTGTGAATCATGCATATATATATATATTGATCAATCTTGAGGAAATCACCTATTTGCCCCAGTAACTAGCCTTACCGTCTTATGTCAGAAGGCGTTGCCGCTTGGCTGAAGCGCGCAGCACAGCGGCAATGAAGACTGATGAGGGTAAGGTGAATGGCGAGTTGTGTACATGGATATATTACCTGGCATACGTTAAGCTGTAGCTAAGGCTAGTGATGTAATTGTGTACTGGTACGTTACTTAAATAACGTGACTCACCACTCAATGAACTCATCCACTCAATGAACTCCTATTTTTTCCATGAATCCCTGCAACTCTTCAACTTCAACCACTCACTATGCCATCCAATGAAGTGATTATAGAGCAAGTGATCGCTCAATTGAATCAACAATTGATTTTTAAATATGCTGAGGTTGCAAAAGAATTCAGAATCAATCATATTATCTTGATGTAGTGGTTCAAAGATCAACAGATCTTCAAAACAGAGGCAATATTAATTTATTATCAGAATTTCATAAATACTGAAGAACAACATCTTTTATTTCATATTAATCAGTTATCTGATTGTGACTTCTCTGTGACATTTCAAATACTGAAAATTTTATATTTGAGGTCATCAAAATGCAAGTAAAAATCAATTGAATTGTAAGCAGCGATGTGAAGATTAGCTGCTTATATCGCAAGAGGTTCTTAAGACTCTATAAAGATTAAGTTGTAGGAGATAATACGGTAATATATTAAAGGGGATTCGGGAATGTAGGGGTCAGATTAAAACAGAATGATCCGCTGACCTTTAGAAGATTGAGCCAGCTATTATTTATATATACAGTATTATAAGCAGATCGAACTTGCTATGATGTAGATAGTGTAGTATGATGCAAGTGGCAAGATAATACCTTGATTTCAAATCTGATATGACATTGACAGTGTTATATTTCAGCGGATGTCATATCTTTAGAGCTATCTCTAAATTCCCGGCCTAGCACTGGGCACCTTAAATGCCGGGTTTCTTACATGAATGTTTTGCTTTTATTTTTCTTCATTTTTTAAATCCAAAAAAAAAAAAAAAAAAAAAAAAAAAAAAAAAAAAAACAAACAGATAATAGTTATTATTTTAAACAATTCTTTATTTTTGTAATTGTAGTTTTTTTACTTCTTTTCATATATAATTTAATGACCTTTCTGCTGACTTTTATTGAATAATTATAGAAGAAGATCATGCAGTATAATATTCTCTTTTAAAACATTTACAATTTCAATGAAAAAAAACTTTCTTTTTCATCTCTTTTATACTCTCAAATGAATTGTTTCTATAGAAGCTTTCAAACAGAAATATACAAATAAAATAATGCAGAATGATAATAAAGAATTTATTTATTTATTTATTAATATTTACACAGATGAAACTACAATTTCATTTGTATTTATTTATTATGAAAAATTAAGAAATATGCAAAATACATGATTTGAAGATTTTGATTTTAAAAAGAATCAGATATATTTCACTGCTTCAGAAAATGAATAAAATAATTATGAATATGGATTAATCTGATTAAAATAGATGTTTAATTCTTATATAAAATAAAAAGCAAGAAATCATTAGCATCTGCTTATATTAGATGGCCATTTATCTCATATAAATATAACATTTATTGATTACATAAATCAAAATTGAATTTTACTCATTATTCTTCCTTTTCATTCTACACATCATTTACAATCATTAGATGTTTGCCCCAGTAGCTGAATGGGTAATGCGGTCACCAGGTAGCGCCTTGGCGTGGGGACTCAAAACGCGTGGATTCAAAACTCACAAGGAGATAACATTACATTTGAAGTCAACTTCTTAGCTTTTAAAATAAAGGGATGTGAATTTGTCAAGTAGATATCTTTAAGTGGATCTACTATCTGATTTAACTTATTGTTTCTGAGTTGAAAACTTGTATCATAAGTATCAAATTCTGTCTTTCATTAATGTTTCTATGTTTCTGTTATATTTTTGACATCATTCAACATTAAGCATTCCTTCTGTATAATCAACTCTTGCCTGTATTTAATATTACACAAGGACTCATCATAAGCACTGCTTGCATACGAGTATAACGGAAGAATAATAATAATAATAATAATCATTAAATGTTGAAATATTTGACTCATTTGTAAAAATATATTTAAATCAATTAAATTTCTATAAATGTTCTGATGATGACTTTATTCAGATTATAAAGCAAGATTTTTGATGACTATTTTATACTGTGTGAAAAATCTTTACAATTGTGGAAAATATTAAATCTGTTTTCATGATCTCTAACATACATTCTATAGATTCTGTTTGCATTTTTCAAAAAATTCAATCATGTTTATTTACACTTTTAAAACTGCTTCAGCAGCATATATCTACATTTATATAAGCTTTACAAAATTTGATAAAACAGACAAATCAATATAATTGCTGATTTTTAATTGATATTAAAAAAATTCTTCACATTGAGAAGAATATTACTCTGAATAAAGAAATTCTTTTAATAGAGAATAAGAATCTTCAAACTGCTTTAAATAATAAGAGAAAGTGATGCAAATAGAATAAGTATATGAAATTGCTTAATTCATCAAATCTCTCACTTGCTCAATTCTTTTCTCTCATTAAAATGCAGGTTGTGAGGGAGCAGGCAGATGCTAATGAAAATGCAAAAATCAATGATCAGATATACAAGAAGAATATGAAGCTTTAATAAATGATTTTTCATAAATAAAAACAGATAAAATTCATAGAATGAAAGAAACAATATAAGAAAAAATGTTTAAAAACTGCTCAATATTGTAAGAAGATCAAAGCTGCAGCTGTAGTTAAACATCTTATAGAGAAGCAACAGTGAGATGAATAGAAGCTTCAATTATAAAAAAAGAAGAAAAAATATGCTGCTAAATGTCATGAAACATAGTTGACAAAGCAGACACTCACAGAGACTTTAAAAAGATTTATAAGAAGATCAATAATGAGTTTAAAACATTATAGAAACTTTATACAACCTTCTAAAAGCAATAATAAATGCCACATACAGACCTTTTCAGTGGAATCAAATGATATTTCTTCTCTGATATCTTCTTCACTGCAATTCAATTTAACTGTTTCAAAATCACAAGTTTCACATTCTGAGTGGATTATTAGATCAAGCAATTGTTCTCTGAATTAATCATATATATTTATATAGTGTATTCTACATATAGTTTTAGTCTTTAATAAATAATATTAATATCTTATTGTGTTGTTGTGCTATGGTTGAAAATTAACAGCTTTATAGAGTGCTTTTTAAAGTTCATTAGGTGGATGAGTTCGTTGGGTGGTGAGTCACGTTAGCCTAGTAGCCACATGTACTTCCCGATACTAGCTGTGTGTGCTGGTACCTCCCCACCACGCCCCAACCTCTAGCTCTCCGCTCTGCCGTCATCGAGACAGGTAACAACCTCGTCCCACCCTTCAATGCGACTCCAGCATCACCACCTGTCGGACTCGGTCTTCAACTTAATGCTGTCGGTGCTTCATATGTTACTATAGGCTTTTTGATACAATGACCCTAACGGACTTGCTCTCCTGGCCACCATGACGCTCGACTCTGCACTTCTGTGAGTACTAGAAGTTGCTCGTCTGGAGCTTGAAATGGAAAAAGGCGTCAAGACTGACCTAACCGAACTTTCCACATAGCTACCGACCAACTGAATGTCTCGTCCTTCAAAACTACCGAAAATTCTTCCCTATCCGGATCCCTAATGCGTTCGTGATACCTAGCTTGCTTGTTATCATCTGGGCAGAATGAAGGCTAACTGCGCTTTACGTAGTCACCACCAACTTCGCCACTACATTAGCACGGCTGATCCAGATCGAATATATGTCGCGGTAGAGAGGCAGATATATGTCTTCCACATCCCTACGAGAAAGCGTGAGAAAATTGCGGTCGTGCCGTTCTCACCAAGATGCCTGACTGCTGGTCTGGGTTGGATTGGGATCGGGGGTTCAGAGCACGGGGATTGTGCTTTTATCAAGATTGGCGAAACGACTTCCGGGACTCCGCCTGGCATGCTTCCCCCACGTACAGACGTAGATAGTCCATTACCAGTTGACTTAGATCCTTCTCGGCCCCGATATCCACCATCAAGTGCTAGTGAGACTCTACCAACTCCTCAACTTTTGCAGAGGCCAAACGCTGAGAGGTTTCTAGATATAAAAATACATGAGTTTGGAGGGAGCATTGTCAATTCTGTGACGCTTCATCGCCTACCAGCTCTTAATAATAATTATGCGAATGAAGATGTCGCAGTTCTCAGGTACATTGCTAACAGCAAGTGTCTTTTCCGACTGCTTATCTCTTTGGCTAACAAGGGATGGATTTCTCTAGTAATAATGACACAACAGTGAGCATTTATTCCCTTACACGCTCGGAAATGATCCAAAGCATTCGCCATCCGATTTGCATGAATTATGCCATTATCTCGCCCGATTCGAACCTTCTCGCTGCCGTGGGTGACGCCAACCATATCTACTTCTACCGAATTGAGCAATCCCCCGAAAACAGAGTCCCTGTTCGGAATAGCGACAAAATGCTAATGGGTTGGAACTGGCCGTTGATCCGCTCCGTAGAACTGGACACAGATCCTGAGTATGATGACTGTTGTTGCTTCACAATTGCATTTTCTCCATCTAGCCATCTTTGTGCAGTTGGGTCACAAGCCGGAATCATCACAGTCTTCGACGTCAAGAGCATTTTGAACACGGATCCCGAAGACGTGGGTGGGCGAGAACATATTGTTTGTGTGTTCCAGTCATCTCGATCTTATTTTGAAGGTGGCGCAGTTCGGTCCATGTCGTTCTCTCCTAGACCTTGGGATCTCCTTGTTTGGGTGGAAGATTATGGGCGAGCTGGGGTAGCAGACATTCGCCAGGCATTTTCCCGGCGCCAGATTCTATCCCTTGATCTAGACGAACCAGGACTGCAAATCGTTCGAACTCACATAGGCAGAGATGATCAGGAGTCGTCATCGGACTCTGATGGTGCCGAACGCTTCCTTGAGCATGAGGGACTGAACCATCGAGCAAACGTCATTGAAGCTACCTCATTGCAGAGGGACCAACAGAGTGGTGATTCGGAAACAGAATTATCACGTGAAGAGTTGTTACGGGAAATGGGGTATAGAGAGAGACACATTATCGATTCCGTGAATGCCTCAGAATGGGACGATGGGATATTATCCTCGCGAATTCCGAGACGTTTAAGTCCTGAATCGCTCATGGAAGCTCGCACTGGCAACCGCTCTCCTCGCGCATCGTCTCCGGGGTTGGCTGATGCCGTTTTACGCGCTGAGTATGGTGGAGATCGCCAGTTGGAGCGGGTGCGAGCGACAGTTCAACCGCCGACGTCACGTCCTTCCATATCAATTGCGCAGCCGCAAGGCGAGCGGCTGTCATCTACGTTGCTACCTGCCCATGGAATCAATCCTTCATCTATCACATTAAGATGGACCCAGTCTCCAGCACGTTTACAGCCTTCGGACTACCCCTCAGATGCTGACGGTTCAAATGCCACGGGTCGAAGCGGCGCAGCGCAATCTACTAACAACGAACAGCCAAATGGCAATGGAAACGCGAATGGCTCTACAAGTAGCCGACAGCTACCACGATCCCGAGTTCTATTTAACCGTTCCCCTGAAAACCCAGCCTCACCGCTATCCACCCAAGCCCAACAAATCCGCCTGCACCGTACAAGATCCATTCCACGAAGAGCGGACCGCCTGGATCACGCCGTAGAACGGCAGGAGGGGCAAACAATAGGCTCGACCCCCGAGGAGCGAAGCCGGCTACGGCGGCAAGCGGTGATTGAGGAGAGTCGGCGGACAGGGGTGGGTGCGCCGTTCAGCCATTATCGCCGTCGCATCGAAGTTGGCCAGCTTCGAGCACCGCGTTGGGCTCGCATGGCGCTTGGTGATGATGGGAGATATGGGTCGACTAGTCGCGAGAGGGAACGGGGATTGGGAACTGCAGGTATTGGATGGGGTGCCGATGGGCGGACCTTGTTAGTTCCCCAAATATTGATTTAAAGGATTTATATATAACACGATATCAGCATACTTGAGAAGCTAATCCGAGTCCTTTATCATTTTACTAGGTTTATCGGAACTGTGGAAGGTATCTTCCAGCTCGAGCTCAACGTCCAAGATCGAAAAACATTTCCTGGTTTTTCATGCAGGTGAAGGTTTAAAATCAAGAAGCAAAACCAAAACAGCAATCGATCAGAAGGAACAAATAAGCTCCAATTTCGCCCATCCATGCAGGGACTGGGTCTTCTTTCCATCGATGTTCCTCCCAGGGCCTCTTCGTCCTTTCCAAATTTAACCTTATCCAAACGGAATTTTATGAACCCACCATCGAAGGAAAAGTCGAAATGTCAATCAATTACGCAAAACGACCCCGTCAATGACGCTGAAAAGCCAGCATGTTTGCTTGTCCATCATTGTTCCTTCCTTCTGTTACTATTACTATTTTGAGCTAATCTGCAATTTTTAATTTTATTTATTTTTAGTTTCACCATCTTGCTTTCTTCCCTCCTTGCTCCACTAGGTGTTTCCATTTCTTTGTTTTTCCCCCCTTTTCTTTCGCTTTTATTTTGTAATTGAAGCGAGCGGGCGCAATATGCTAGCGGGATGGGGATGGAATGTATCATTCGATCGAGGTAACTGAATTAAAGTAAAGGGATGGATTTGGAGCTGGGTGTTTTACCAGGCTTTCATGAATATATTTTGGATGTCTTTGCTATATGCTCCCTCCTTCTTCCATTGCTCCTTTATTCTTATTTTTCTATTCTATTTTGTCTCTTTTTCCCCCCCTTTTTTAGAGGGCAAAGCAGCTGGAGCAAAGCAAGTGACAACAGACTGACTTATCTCTGATTAACAGCGGATTTTATATATTTATGGACTTCGGATTCTAATTTTTCTTTCTTTCTTCTTTCTTTTTAATTTATTTTTCAAGTTTTGTCTTTTGATTTCCTCCTTTTCCTTTAATGTTTTATTTTTCTTCGCTTCTCTTGTAAATTGAGAGTTGATGGTACATATTTGAGCGCTCAGCCAACGAACTTGTGCCAAAAATGGCAGGTTGCAGTGCAATGCGAAGAACAAACATGTATTGTATTTGTTTTTGCCATTTTATATTCCTTAATTGTTTATTCCATCCCCATTACCTTGGTAATAATTGATGTTGGTATTTATCTTCAATTCTTTTCCTGTTACGTCACTTGATTATTTCTTGCATGGGGTGTTTTTCTACCTCCTTTTCTGCACGCCTGTTCTCGTAATTTTTGTTCTCATTTTTCAATCTACTGTTGTCCAACCCATCTGCCTTCAATTCATGACTGTTATTCGCCCTTATTCATATACTATCATCGTGACTGCGAACTCCCTGTGTACTGTAAAGACTGCCGTGAGAATGTTGGAAAGGGAAATTCGATGCACAACTTTCAGTGGTGGTTCACCACTTTGGGAACCAAAGCCTCTAAAACTCGCGGTCAAATTGTGTACACCAAAATATTCATCCATCGAACCCTCTCTCCAGGAAACATTTATACATCTGAAAGTCAATTGTTTATTTCATATGTTTGAACATTCAAACAGCATAATCAATCGAGAACCACGTCAATTTCTAGTAAGATTTGGGAGGGGAATATCAAGCACTCCTTGCTTCAGCAGCGATACACGGCGGACTGTGGTATCTATCTTCTTGTCAGATCGCATGGAGTTCTAGGCTTTGGAGGGTTTGACGCTCTTCCTCTCAGTCCGTTGCATATGCTTCTCTAGAGCTATCTGCCGGTATAGTTATATACTCGTATTCAGGCCCCGTCCACAATATTAAGAATAAACATCTATTGTCATTCTGCGCTTCCAACGACGGACAACCTGTTCCACATGCTCCGCAGGCGACAAAAAACGAGGTCTGCAACTCAACGACCACGGAAATGTCCTTGGCTGTTCATTTCTGACCTTGGAAAGTTATTATGAAGTTGCTTGGTTTGTCCGTCACCTGCTATACCGTTCTGTCAACAAAAAATATGGATTGTACCCTTACATGCAATGTTTTCTGGAGCTGTTGCAGCCTGCGGTGTGCCGGTGGCATAACCTCAGCCAGTTCTCCAGCTATGCCTTCCTTCGACGATGATGGGGGTTCCCCGGGTATTTTCTTATCGACTGGCACGTTCTTCTGCCGTGCTCCCATTGTCACGCTGCTTTGGTTACCCTTGAACTTTCTGCTCAACGGCCCTTTTCTTTCCAACAATCGAGCAGATTGCTGAGGCTCTTGGACCAGAGCAAGACCCGAGTTTACTCATCTCAGCGCTTGGAATAGGAGGTGGATTGGGGAAGGAACAGCCGATCATAACTACAGATGCTGGACTTTCCTAATACATCGATGATATGTTATTGTCTACAGCCGAAATGGCAGCTTCGACCCGAGGTGGCTGCGGGGGCCCTTACGGAATTTGACTCCAACACTTCATCACACTCCTCTTGTACGCCTCCTTGATGTCTGGTGTGGACGACATGACATTCTACCCCTCTCATTTTGTATCTCTGTGATATTTCTTACCTACCAGTCTGTTATACATGTTCTAAACAATGTCTCAGCCCTCAGCCCAAGAGGACAACACCAGTGCAAACAATCCTGATGAACAACCTCGTGATGCTGCTGTTGCAGGTGACGGCGCCGGCGAGGGCGCCGGTGGTGGTAAAAAGAAGAAAAACATAAATATCTCATGGCCCGCCTTAAAATTTTCCATGGGCAATCTTACGGTGACCTTCCAGGATATCAATTTGTCCCGACTCTTTCGACGGAAGAAGAAGGATAGTGATGGACCACCCGAAACGACCTTTAAAGAGGTTTTCAAGCTATACAAAAAAGAGTATTTTGACATATGGGCCAGCCTACTGGTGGGCTTTTTTTTAATTTGTCCCTTCCTTTCGCATCTATACCTTGGTCTGCGAGTTTCTACTAACGTTAAAAAATAACCTTTTTCTTCTCGTTAGTTTTTGTTGAATGTGTTAGCATTTGTTGCTCTCTCCTCCTTCGTGACTGACAGATACGCGAAAGGCGTGGACTTCGACGGACACATCGTCAATGACCCATCGAATAGTATCGCACTAGATTTGAATGTCGTCCTACTTTTGAGTGCTATGCTTCCTCTCGCCGTTTCCGCCTCGGTAGTATACTTTTTGATCTTCTTATTTTTTACAGATAAATTGGTTTGGGTCACTGGGTTATTGAATGTGAGTGCGAGTTTCGGCACTGGTGCTGTTTATCTGTATAGGCGCCAATGGGCTATCGGGGGTGTATTTACTGGGCTTGGACTCTTCGCGGTTATATACTTCGTGAACTGGATACCACGAATCCCATTCACTACAGTCTTGCTTCGATCGTCGGCCGCTGTGATAAGACGCCATGGATCGGTGAATATGATCTGCATTATGGGAAGTATGCTCACAGTCGGATTCGCTGCGTTGCTTTTCGTGACGCTCGTCACGACTTATATTGCATTCGACCCAGACGAAACGAAAGCAAACCCTCTTTGTTATAACTACAGATGCAAATCCATTGCGACGAAGACACTGATGACATTTTCTGTCCTTTCCGCCTATTGGATCACTGAGTGGATCAAGAATACCATGCATGCTACTGTCGCTGGAGCGTATGGCTCATGGTATTTCTATGGCGGTAACTCAAAGGAGATGCCAACGAGACCATTGAGAAGTGCTTCCAGACGCGCGATCACTTATTCCTTTGGTAGCATATGCCTTGGAAGCCTGGTCGTCGGTGTGGTTGACATTCTGCGCCAGCTGTGCAGCATCTCCGGACAGGAAGCGGCTGCTGATCAAACTATCCTCGGGAGGGCCACAACACATGTTGTGAGAGGAATAATGAGCTCGCTTCGACGGGTGACCAGCGTTTTCAATCGATATGCATTTTCCCATGTGGTACTGTACGGGAAACCCTATGGGTTAGCTGCTAAATATACGTGGCAAATGATGGAACACCACGGTATCGATGCGCTCGTTAACGATAGTATTGCTGCAACTACTATAACCCTGGGATCTCTGTTTGTTGCGTACCTTTGTGCATTTGTAGCATATGTCGAGTTGGGATACACGACACCGGATTTCAACAGAACTGGGAGATTCACACCCGCCATCATGGCATACGCGTTCCTCTGCGGGTTTCAGATTTGCAAAGTGTATATGACACCAGTAGTCAGTGGGGTGGACACAACGTTTATGGCGATGGGGTTGGATCCAGAAGTTCTTGTGACCCAGCACCCAGATCTGTGGGAGGCCCTGTTACGTGTTTACCCTCGGATACAGGATAGGATTAATCCCTGATTGTCATGTTTCAACTTCTTCTCGCCTCAGGAGCAAGCTACAAGATAGCCGTTGATCCTCAATATTTGGGGTTCAGTACTGTCCCTCTTGTGTTGCGAAAATCGCTTTGCGGTGGCTTGTTTTCCTTGGTCCCCTTTTCGCTCTCTTTTGTATATTGTTATCTCTAGACATTCCTTGTTGTGCCTTGTCGTATAGTCACTCTTTCAATACGATACGTTTCCCTCTCTCCACTCGGGGAATATGTACTTTCGTTAGAGCGTTCTGAATGACTAGCTTATTCACTCAGTTGATATCGCCATGAAGTATAAGGACTTACCTTAGTTCAGACACGATGCAGCTTTTCAAGTTGCTGTCCTCCAAAAAAATAGCGATCTTCAGTATACTGGATAGGAGTTTATTTAGACGACAACTTCTTCGGCTTACGCCTTTATTGATATTCTTAAAATAATAGCTACCGCTCTTTTCTTTTTAACTTGTATTTATATCACAAGATCGGGAAACCATGAGGTGGATGTTCAAAATGATATTAAGGTTTTAGGGCTGCGCCAAGCGCGCTTGTTTTTTAATTAAACGCCAGACAGTTTAGCGTCTCGCTTCACTCCTAAGGACAGGCCAGTCACTGTTACACGGGAAACAATGTGGGTTTACAGTAAATCTTGAAGACTTGACTGCGGCAATAATTTAGCATCTCCGTTGTCCGTAATCTTGCCCAGGTAATGCCCGCTTTCCGAAAGCGGCAGGGAAAAGGTTGGAATGTCACTCTTTTGAGCCCCGCGTCACAGACATGTTAAGTTGAGAAGCAGAGAGCAGTTTGCCATAGGCTGGCTTGCCATGATACTGGGAGCTGATTACGGTTTCCTTTAATATCATCTGATGAGTCATTCGCCATTAACAAAAATGGCGGAAGACCGAGATTTACTCGATGCTGTCCAGCGGCTTTACGCCGCAGCGGATAATTTGTCCAACGATGATGACACTCTAGACGCCTGGATAGCGAGAGAAGAAGAAGAAAATGAAGATCTAGCAAATGTGGAGAAGGAAATCGAGGCAGGCTTCCGATCGCGGCGTCGAAGGCGCGAAGTCCAATCTGATGAGGAGCTGAAAGCTGAGCTCGAGCGAGATTTTTTGAACCCTTCTCCTCGGTTTAGTATCCCATGGTTGAATAAGTTGCAACAGTATGTGCCCTTCTCGCAAAGGTTTTTTTTTTTTTTTTTTTTTTTTTTTTTCCCTTTACGCGCAAATTTTGATGAGTTTAATCTAGGCGATGGGAAGTTCCTCTGGATTACACGAACCTCATGGACCTGGCACCACCACAAACCCGTACAATCATCCGGTTTACCCGGGAAGGACTGGAAGGCAAGGTTACTGGCTATCACGAGGTAACTCTTCCTGCAAGCAGCGCTACTGCGAAAAATTCTACGTCGCTGCTAAGGCGACCAGCGGGGCGTGCTGATTTCGTCCGCGGTGCTGCCGGATTCTTTCCGTTTGCACCTGGCGGACTGGAGGGCGTGGAAGCCATTGCTGAACTTGAGTCTGAGGCTCAAAATGATGTGCATCAGAATTATGCTGGAGGAAATGCATCGGGACTAGACAGAATCATTAATTTTGGCGTGGAGGGTGGCCTGTTGGAAGTTCCTCCGGGGTTTTCCAGGGGGTCAAAATTCGAGAAAACCAAACGCAAGGATGATGAAGGCGATGCTCGAGATGTTGAAAATACATTACAGCGGGAGGGGGAAGGTGTCGACGAACCGACGGAGGAGAGGCTTTCCCTTGGTGTAGAAAGAAACATCCGGACCGATGAACAACTCCAAGAGGGCATATCCAGTGACGAAGAGGAGCAAGATATTGATTCTCTATTACCAGTTGAATACCCAGCTTTGGAACCAAGGAATCAGCTCCTCACGTCCACTTCAAAGAAAGGGAGTAAAGAGTGGGCTCATGTGGTGGACATCAACAAGGAGATTACGAATTTTTACGACTTGGTACCGGATATGGCGAGGGAATGGCCCTTCGAACTGGATACTTTCCAAAAGGAGGCAGTCTACCACCTGGAAAACGGAGATTCTGTTTTCGTTGCCGCTCATACATCTGCTGGAAAAACAGTTGTGGCAGAGTATGCGATCGCACTCGCAGCCAAGCACATGACAAAAGCCATTTACACATCACCGATTAAAGCCTTGAGTAATCAGAAGTTTCGCGACTTCAGAAATACATTTGAGGATGTGGGAATTCTGACTGGAGACGTCCAGATTAACCCCGAGGCGAGCTGCTTGATCATGACGACGGAAATTCTGAGGAGCATGCTTTACCGCGGCGCTGATCTTATTCGCGATGTAGAGTTTGTCATTTTCGACGAGGTGCACTACGTAAATGACCTGGAAAGAGGCGTGGTTTGGGAAGAAGTCATTATCATGCTACCAGAACACGTTACTCTAATTCTTCTGTCCGCTACGGTACCAAACACATACGAATTTGCCTCCTGGGTAGGCAGGACTAAGAAGAAGGACATCTATGTTATTTCAACCCCCAAACGCCCTGTCCCATTGGAGCATTACCTCTGGGCGGATAAGAGCATGCACAAAATTGTTGACTCAAACAAAAACTTTATCGAGAAAGGATGGAAGAAGGTAGATGACATTCTATCCGGGCGGGACAAACTTCGCACTCAGAAAGCGACGGACGCCCAGTCCAATAATAGCAGAGGTGGTCATGGAGATAGAGGTCGTGGTGGGCAGGCCCAACGTGGTAACCAACGAGGTGGGCCCCAGCGTGGTGGCACTCAACGTGGAGGCGTCCAACAACAACGAGGCTGTACACAGCAGCGGGGCAGAGGCCAACCTGCACCTCATAGAACCGGCAATATCGCCAGAACAGGCCGAGGCGGTGGGCGAACGACCGTTGCACAAGACAGAAATGTCTGGGTCCATCTGGTGCAACATTTGCGAAAAGAAAACTTGTTACCCGCGTGTGTTTTTGTATTTTCCAAGAAGAGATGCGAGGAAAATGCGGATTCCTTGTCTAACCAAGATTTTTGCACGGCAGCAGAAAAGAGTTCTATCCATATGATTATTGAAAAGTCGCTGGCAAGGCTGAAGGCAGAAGATAGAGTCCTTCCACAAATTCGTCGGGTTAGGGAGCTGCTGAGTAGGGGTATCGGGGTTCACCATGGTGGTCTCTTACCTATCATTAAGGAAATCGTTGAGATATTGTTCGCAAAGACTTTGGTGAAAGTGCTGTTTGCGACGGAAACTTTTGCGATGGGTCTGAATCTGCCAACCAGGACTGTTGTATTTTCTGGCTTCCGAAAACATGACGGAAGGTCCTTTAGGGACCTTCTCCCTGGTGAATATACTCAAATGGCAGGGAGAGCAGGTCGCCGTGGTCTTGACACAGTGGGATCAGTGATCATTGTTACATCTGGTAGGGATGAAGCGCCACCCGCTGGCACTCTGCGACGTATGATTCTAGGCGATCCGACTAAGCTTCGATCTCAATTCCGACTTACATATAATATGATATTGAACCTCCTGCGAGTAGAAGCCTTGAAGATTGAAGAAATGATCAAGCGAAGCTTCAGTGAAAACGCAACGCAAGCTCTCCTGCCGGAGCACCAGAAACAAGTGCAACTATCTGAGGCCAGTTTAGAGAAAATAAAACGGGAGCCATGCGCCATATGTGATGTCGACATGGAAGCTTGCCACAACGCTGCCGTGGAGTATTCGTGTCTCACTGCCAAACTTCATATTAAGCTCCTTGCATCACCTGTGGGACGACGATTATTTTTAGCCAAGACAGTGGTCGTCTTTAAAAAGGTGACGAATTACGCATTTGGATTCTAATTAATGAGATTTGCTAATATTGGTTACTTTCCTACAGAACGGCGTCAGGACAGTTGGTATGCTTGCTCGCGAAGGCATGGCTCCTGGGCCGAACCTTAACCTAGAGGTGTTCGAATTTGGCCCGATCAATGGTAGCCGGCATCCAAGTGATATCCTTCCATATTTGCCAGCGTTTCGGCATTTATTTTCGCCACTGTCGACGGAACCCAACGAGATGGTGCTGAAGACATACAAGATCCCGCTTGAAGACCTTGAATGCGTAACTTCGACTGTTTTAAAAATAGGTGGTCCAACATGGTATTTGAATATTAAGAAAGGTAAACGTGAACCCACCTTTTTAATAGCTACATTAATTGGTCTGATTCATTTGTTTTTTCTTTTTCTTTTGGCCTGTTACTAACCTGTTGTAGAATCATTGAGGGTTGCACAGAAAGACCTCGCCCCGTTATGTACCTCGTGGAAAAGCAGGTCGTGGGACGAATTGGCGTGGGACCGAGTCAAAGATCTTCAAGTAGTCGAGATCTTAAATCAGCGACAGGCACAAGTTGTCATCATCGAATCCAGCAATTGTTTGCGATGCCCACAATTTCTGAAACATGTAGGTTTAAAAAAGCGCTGTTTTCCTTGACTAACATTAATTTTATTGGGCAATGCTGATGCTTGGGCAGTTTGAGATGCAACATGACGAATGGCAGGTTAAAGAAAACATCTCACAGTTAAAGCAATTAATGTCGGATCAAAACTTGCAACTGTTACCCGACTACGAGCAGCGTATTTTGGTCTTGAAGGATCTTGGCTTCGTTGATGAGGCTTGTCGAGTCCAATTGAAGGGGAAAGTTGCCTGTGAGGTAGGTTATTATGCCATCCACGTAAAATCATTTTCAATCTCAAAAAATTGACATCATCTATATCTAGATTCATTCAGCCGACGAGCTCGTCCTGACAGAATTAATTCTGGAAAATGTGTTTGCAGAATACGAGCCAGAAGAGATCGTTGCTCTGCTGTCAGCTTTCGTCTTCCAAGAAAAGACGGAAAGCGTACCGACACTCACGCCGCGACTTGAAAAAGGCAAAGAGGCCATAATCAAGATATCGGAAAGGGTAAATGACTTCCAAATCCAGCACCAGGTCATCCTATCGAGTGATGACTCCAATGACTTCGTGAGCAAGCCCCGATTCAGCCTTGTCGAGGTGGTGTACGAATGGGCGCGGGGAATGTCATTCAACCGAATCACAGATTTGACAGATGTGATGGAAGGGACGATTGTACGTGTTATCACACGGTTAGATGAAACCTGTCGGGAGGTAAAGAGTGCTGCTAAGCTGGTCGGCGATCCAACGCTCTATAACAAGACGCAACAGGCACAAGAGCTGATCAAGCGCGACGTAATATTCGCCGCGTCCCTTTACATGTAAAAGAATGGCCAACTGATGCATTGTCAAAGTTTATCCTTGAACAGTTGGTGTTGCTGTGAATCGTGCTGTGTGCGGGAATGTGTTTGCCGATAGGATTCACACTAACAATTGATGTGTGACGCCGGAAGAAGCCAGCTATCGATATTTTTATACTGGAGTCTGCCGGGGTCTCTAGGATATAAAGTAGATAATCAAATGAGATGGTTATATCCTCGCCTTTTTCGATCCATAGCTTTCACTGTATTTGGACGAATTATCATTTTCTTTTATTATTGTTTTTACGAATTAGCGCCAGATAAAAAAAAGTAAACAAATAAGAGGTGGTTGTCCATGCTAACCTCAATTTTAAAACTGTAAACCCCACCGACCGATCGGTGCTTTCTCATCTTTTCTGCCCAACTTCCCTCTCCACAGAACACTACCATCACCATATCCTCCTACACGCCCCAATCACCCACGCTACGTCGCGCAGCTTGGACCGAGGCAACAACCTGCCTTGTTTTAACTTGGAATTCTAGATCTGCCCCTCCTCTGGCCTGGTGCTGGGGGGTTGTTATAAGCACGAGATGGATGTCGCAGGCCTCCGAGACCGTATCCAAGCGACCCTCAACACCAATGCGGATACTCGACAACAGGCAGAGGCGGACCTGAAATTCGTATGTTATTCAATTAGAATTTCTGAATATGTATGTCGGTAATTCCGCTAACTCTTTTTTGCCATTATATTAGGCTGAGGAGCAGCCTGGATTCGTCAATGCGCTGTTGGATATTTTACAGGCGGAGCAGGACAATGGAGTTCGACTATCGAGTAAGAAAACAACCTCGCCGTGTTTATATTTATTTGCCTCGAAAACACATAAACGCCTTCTCGTCCGCTTGGTTAGCCATAGTTATAGGTTATTGTGTCTCGTGTATTGCTGACTCAAATCTCCTGTTTTCCCACCTTTAGCGGTGGTATATCTGAAAAATCGGGTTACTCGAGGATGGGCTCCTGCCGAAGAACAATCCATTCACAAAGCCATTCCAGATGAAGACCGAGCTCCATTCCGAGCTCGTATTATCCCTTTACTCGCCTCCTCCCCGCCCGCCGTTCGATCTCAGTTGGCCCCTATCCTATCCAAGGTCCTCCAATACGATTTCCCTTCAAGATGGCCTGACTATATGGACGTGACTGTCCAGCTACTCAATACCAACGACGCAAACTCAGTCTTCGCGGGTTTGCAGTGTCTGCTGGCAATATGTCGTGTTTACAGATTCAAGGCGAGCGACAAGAGGGGGGATTTTGAGAAAGTGGTGGAAGTCTCGTTTCCGCGATTACTGGATATTGGGTCTCGGCTCATCAATGAGGAAAGCATCGAAGCGGGGGAGATGCTGCGGACAGTTGTCAAGGCGTATAAGAACGCCACCTATGTGGGTGATAAAAACTTTCATTTCCAAGGGCGCTATGGGCCTCGGGATCCTAGATGGTTTTTAACTGACGCGAAAATTTTTCGGTTCACTACAGTTTGAAATGCCAAACTTCCTGATGACCCATCAAGCAACGGTCGATTGGTGCACTTTGTTCTTGAGAGTCATTGGAAAAATCCCTCCCGCAAGTTCCCTGCTAGAAGATGTAGATGAGCGGGAACTTAACCATTGGTGGAAAGCCAAAAAATGCTCTTATGCCAATTTGAACCGTCTATTCGTTCGGTACGTTCATGGGTCAATTTATATTTTGAAAGGAAAGACGATCTAACCAGCTGCGATATACTCATAGTTACGGCAACCCTAATCTTATCGGCAAATCCAGCTCGAACAGATACACCCAGTATGCCAAGATTTTCATCTCGACCTTTGCCCCCGAGATTCTGAAGGGTTACCTGGGGGAAATCGATAAATGGGTCAACGGACAATGGCTAAGCAAGCCTGCACTTTCTTATACTTTGGTCTTTCTGCAAGACTGTGTCAAGCCAAAAATTACATGGGACCATCTGAAACCTCATATGGATAATCTCATTCAACACCTGATTTTCCCAGTACTCTGCCAGTCTGATGAAGATATTGAGCTTTTTGAGACAGACCCTTCAGAGTATTTGCACCGGAAGTTGAATATATATGAAGAGGTTTCTGCACCAGATGTCGCAGCTACAAACTTCCTCGTAGCGCTGACACAAAGCCGGAAGAAGCAGACATTTTCTATCTTGAGTTTCATAAACGGGATTGTGAGCAAGTACGAATCGTCTCCAGATGACCAAAAACTTCCTCGCGAAAAGGAGGGCGCCCTTCGCATGATTGGCACATTGGCTTCCGTAATTTTGGGCAAGAAGAGCCCTATTGCTGACCAAGTCGAGTACTTTTTCGTCCGCCACGTTTTCCCAGAATTTAAAAGCCCCCACGGCTATCTCCGCGCACGGGCTTGCGACACTTTGGAAAAGTTCAATGAACTAGACTTCAATGACACCAACAACCTCATGGGAGTTTATAGAAATATTTTGGATGCATTGGCCGACCCTGAACTTCCCGTGAGAGTGGAAGCTGCCCTTGCCCTCCAGCCGCTTATTCGCCATGATGTTATTCGGACCTCGATGCAAACTAGTATCCCACAAATCATGCAACAGCTCCTCAAGCTCTCTAATGAAGTGGACTTGGATCCGCTTGCAAGCGTCATGGAAGACTTCGTTGAAGCCTTCTCGGCAGAACTCACTCCTTTTGCTGTGGCTCTGTGCGAGCAACTGAGAGATACCTACTTGCGTATTATCGGAGATATGCTTGATGATCGAAAAAATACCTCGAAAGGTGATGAAGACATTTACGGCGATTTCCTAGATGACAAGAGCATCACTGCCTTGGGAGTACTCCAAACCATAGGAACTCTCATTTTAACTCTGGAAAGCACACCAGATGTTCTTCTGCACCTCGAAACCATTTTAATGCCTGTCATCACAATTACCCTTGACAATAAACTCTATGGTAGGATTGCTTGTATCCCTATCATTGACCCAACGCTAACTGCAAACCGTACAGATTTGTATACCGAAGTCTTTGAGATCATCGATTCTTGCACTTTCGCCGCCAAGTCTATCTCTCCAACGATGTGGCAAGCATTTGTCCTCATGCACAAGACTTTCAAATCCGGAGCGGAGTTGTACCTTGAAGGCTAGTTAATGGTTTCCATACACTAAATGACTTGCGAAGCTAATGTTGCTATTTATAGATATGTTGCCAGCTTTAGACAATTTTGTAACCTTTGGCTCCTTTACTTTGACGCAAAACCCCGCTTACCTTCAAGCTCTCGTTGGTATGGTGGAAGACATTTTCCATGACGAGAAAGTTGGAGGCGTTGATAGAATCTGTGGGTGCAAACTTTCAGAAGCTCTCATGCTTAACCTTCGAGGCCAAGTCGATCAATATATCCCAACATTCATCTCATTAGCGATGGCGGTATTGAATTCGAATGAAACGCATGCCAAGTCTTACCGGATTCACCTCATGGAGATGGTAATCAATGCCATTTACTATAACCCCTTGCTATCGCTCCAATTCCTGGAGTCCAAAGAATGGACCAACAAATTCTTCAGTACTTGGTTTTCGAATATGGACATTTTTACCAGGGTCCATGACAAGAAGCTTTGCATCGTTGCCATCAGCGCACTATTGACCTTGCGAGGAAATGATGTGCCAGCAAGCGTACAACCAGGCTGGCCCCGCCTCCTACAGGGGATTAGCAAGCTTTTCCAGACCCTTCCAGCGGCCTTGAAGCGTATGTTCACCATGAAACCTCTTTTTGGTTAAACGTAGCTCAATGCTGACCAAATTCCAGACCGCGAAGAAGCTACTTCTAATGTCGATTTAAGTTATTATGAAAGGGACGATGATGACGACTCGAATAACGATTGGAGTGGCGAAGTGGAGTGGACAGCACAAGATGAAGATGAGGGTCCTGATGGAGACCTTGACGACGAGAGTCAATCTTATGTTGAGTTCTTAAACCAAGAAGTAAGATTTTAACATTTTATGGGTTAAAGATACTTATTTCAGCGGCTGCTAAGATTCACTTCACAGGCTATGAAATACTCAGCGATGCCCGGCAATGAGGACGATGACCTTGACGAAAAGAGTTTGCTTGAGAGTCCATTGGATAAAATTGAGCCATATAGCTTATTCAAGAACGTTTTGATGAGTGAGTCCACTTCAGCTTTTTTTTTTTTCGCTTTTCCTCGTTGACTCAGTGAATACTGACATGTTGCCCTTCAGATCTACAACAAGAGCAACCGGCCCTTTACGAAAACCTGACCAAAATCCTTAATTCCGAAGAGCAACAAATTATCCAGACCGTTGTCAACGAAGCCGATGCGCAGGCATTAGCTTTTGAGAATGCAACTGCTGCCGCCGCAGCAGCAGCAGCGGCACAGGCAAATGGTGGTTCATAATCTTTCTAGCCAGCAATACAGAGACGAAAAGACAAAAAAGGCAATAAAATGAGAATGACATAAAAGACGACAAAAGCTTTTAATTTTTATTCATATCAATCCCCCCTACTTTATTAGCGTCATCTATCTACATACCACACATATCCTCCACTCCCCTAGGCACCGACATGAGTTTTTCAAAGTGGGTAGATATACCCCCTTTGTTTTACGAACACTCCCTTAGTTTTCTTCCTTCTATCTCAATTCAAATGTCACTGATTCTAGTTTGTGGGTCTACTCTCCGATTCCAGAAAGACAGCTTTTCTGTTCTCACGATTTGTTTGTTTTTTTTTTCTTTTTTTCTTTTTTTTTCTTTTTTTTTTTTTTCACTCCATCCCTCGTCCTTCAAGCGCTTAGTCCTTCATCCTCTTCGCCCCATCGTTCTTTTTAGTCCCTCTTACCCTGTCGTATTCTATTCTACACTGATTTTCATTAGATAGTTTTCATTCCCACGTCTACCCAGGAAACCCCAGCGATACAACTCCATTGGCCTTGCGTCAACCCACCAGCCTCTCCACTCACGGGACCGGTTAAGTATCACTGGGATTATTCTCTTTGTATTATGAAAGCCATCTTCCACACTGGAAACTATAAGTTGCTGCCTAGCCTATCATCATCTCACTCCTCCAAACTCTGATATCATCGCGCCCCTTGACCTAGACTCCTATTACTATATATACCGACCTCGGGAGGCGGTAATGCATTAGTTAAGCACATTTCTCATTCCCACCCAATTTCAACTTGCTTTTTTAAATCATTCTCTGGAAATCTCTGGCGCAATGCAATCTAACGTAAAACTAGACAAGAGGGCGGGTATATATAAGAACGATATAAAAATCAATTATACATCAAACTACATATGTGGAATGAAACCTGATTCTTACACTTTTCTCCAGGGTGTGCATATGCACAAAATATAACCACTTAAAGAAAAAAGCCTACGCGGTACAAAAAATATGTAAATTTCAATATAACACGCTCACGTCCAAGCATCTCCTAAGTGGGCTAAGGAATTCATGGAGAAGGAACTCGGATGTCCAACCAACTTGTTGTAACCACAGGAAAATGACCACCACGAAGGGAAGATGTCCCCCTTGCCTGACGACGAATGAACGAACAATTAAGGAAAGTTTTGCCAAAACGATACTATTCCGCTCACACCAAAAACAGGCGAAATCCTCTCTTCTTACCATTGATACCATAGAGCAGAACAACAAAGAATCAAATTTCGTTAGGGGGTTGCGTGTTGTTAGTCGCCGGGGGGGGGGGGGGGGAAGAGACGTCATCATGATGTTTTTTAGTCCAAGTTTTGCGAGTAAAATTAAAACCATCCCCCCCTCTTGGAACTTGATATTTATACGTGGGTTGTAGGTAACGTGTGCCAAATGGATTAACGAACATAGGGTAAGACCCAAATATACCAAAGAATAATTTCACAGGCCGATCTCATCACATCTCATTACTGTGTTGTACGAGAGGGGACCAAAAAACGGACGGGAACAAACACTAAAACGCGGCATATATATATTTATATATACATATATATCTATAGAGCAGCCACATCCCCTCCAACCCTCCTCCTCCCAAAATATCCCCAAATATGTCCTCCCGTCACGCCGGCCGCCAATCCCCTTCCCCCTCCCGCCAAACCGGACCTCAAGGATCCGACATCCCTGGCTGGACCGGAAAAGCCGAGCAGACAGCTACAGATTCGGAACAACCTCTGCGGAACCTGGCGAGCAACAGTGAGCGGACTGGTGAACATCACGGTGGCGGGTGTGGTATCCGCGTTCCGGGGGCAATGGTTGATGTGGAGGGGAATGTGCATTTGCAGAGTAACCCAGTGCATGCGCTTGAGGAGGAATCAGCGACAAAGACGGCGAAGAAGGGTCCTGTGGGGATGAAGGGGAGGTAGGTTTGGTTGGGCTTTGTTTGTTTAGGTGCATATTGGGTGATGTGATGATGCAAAGGGGTGGGTTGATGGGTGTTCTTGTTTTATTTATTTATTATTATTTTTTCCCCTAACTACTTGTTACGGATTCGTTGTTTTGGTTTTGAGATGAATTGGTAAATATGGAAATGAGTGAGCGTGCTCGTGGGGACCGGATACAATCCCCATATTTTTCCAGAGGAATTCCAATTTTTGAAACAAGGTAGTTCTGCAATAATAGCATAGGACCCGACCATTGGTTAAATATTTGAAAACGGTGCGAGCTACAGGGGTAGACGGATACATCAAAAGAGTGTGCAGAGCAAAAACAACAACTCAATAAAGCTTAAGCAAATAGCACAAATTCAGGCGATGAGAATTTCAGGTTATCATACCATATCATAATCGTTGTCGACGCTGCCATTCCAGGAACAATGACACTGGGTAGCTTAAAAGCCATCGAAATGACATAAAGGGAAAAAAAAAAAAAAAAGGCAATAACCCCTCTCAGTATATTACTGTCCGACCTAATCATATCATCTTCCCTTTACCGATTTATTATCCTCCAACGGCATTTCATGTCGCTCTCTTCTCCGTCTCCTCAGAGTAGACCTCATGACTTGCCTCTGCTTTTCCCTTCCCCTCAACCCCCTCCGCCTCTTCCGCCTTCCCACTCTTCAAATCCGCCAGCCTTCTCGCCTCATTATGGATATCCCTCACCTGCTTATCACTCTGCAGATAGAAATCCCTCACCTTCTGCCCCGTCGGTGTGCCCAGGGCCTTCTCAAAGTACGAACTAAGTCCGCGCAGGCCACTTGCAGCCTTATCGGAGATGCCGTAGCTACTATCGATGTCCTTGGCCTTATCAGTGGCGTGGAACTTGGCGTTGAAGTTGTCCAGCGCGTTCCGGAAACGCGTGGAGAAGCCGTGCTTCTTGTCGAGGGAGATGGCCTGTTGGATCGCATGGTCGCTGATCACGTAGCCGTGCGCGAGGTATTCGGCGATTATGCGAGAGCGGGGCTTGTCTTCTTGTTCTATGTCGTGGATGCCCGCGGTGTCGTTTTTGGATTCAGGGGATTCCGCGTGGGCTTTGGGGCCGGCTAGCTCGTCGATGGATGCGGCTGCTGTTACCTTGACGGAGGACGGACCAAGTTGGGTATTGTCGAGCAGAAGGGCGGTTTTAGCAGCGCTGGAGCGTACCGGTTTAGTATTTGATAGTTTGATTTCCAGGAGTGTGTATGTCGGGGCTTGGAAGGTGGGGAGCTCACGCTTCTTTCTCAAATGTTACTGTTGCTGACTGTGGAGCGTCTTGCTCGCCTGAGCTAGGGGTAATTGATAGAGAGGTTATTTTTCCACTGGATTATAAACTGTTGGTAGCTGCATTTATACAATAGCATGAACAGGGAAGGATAAAGACAGCAATACATACCAGAAACTGAAGAAATCTCTTACTTCCTTCTCACTCGTCTTGGGTGAGATATCCGCGACGTGAACGGTGGTGTGGGAGGACATCGTTGAAGAGAACTTGAATATAACAGTACTAGCAGTATTGGTATGATCGCTCTATGTGGGGGAGAACACTGAACAGTGGTAGAGTAGGATTCGTTATTGGGTTGGTTGAAGTTGTATTGAAGACAGCTCCAGCGCAAAGCAAGACCAGGGAGACGCTCTCCAGGTAGATATAGAGCTGTGCGAGAAGATGGGGTTTGTTTGCACATCGCAACATTCAGCCTTGGATGTTGTTCCGCATCGTCATCGAGGGGTTGAACGGTGACTGCGCCACATATGACGTCGCCGTTGCTTCCGTGGCTGTTCCGGCGGCTCTCAAGCCACACCCTGGTGCGCTGGATGTTTGCATGTGAAAATCAGGCGATTTACGGGAGCCTCAAAATGGATTGAAAACGAGATAAGATAGTTCTTTTATTGTCGTAAAAACGATGTGCACTTTAGTTAACCTTGTACTTGAGCTTGTTTACATTAACCCCGGCACTGTGGTTGATCAAAATAAAAAGTAAACCTTTTTTCGTCATGGGTTGACAAAAAGAAGAGGGGAAAGGAAAGTGTGAAAGAGAGAGAAAGACGATGGATTTTAAAAGAAAATATAAAAATAGTGTGAGGTAATGTGGTCTCATGTGTCGTGAAATAATAGTGATATCGTGGTTACGTTAAAACTTGGGGTCATTAGAAGAAGATGAGAAATTCATCCCATGTAAAAAAAAAAAAGTAGAGTGAAACAACAATTAGGTGGTGGCAATTATATGGGGAAGGAAGAATAAGCAAAAAAAGAAAGAAACGAAGTTAACGGCGGTGCATCAGCAGGTATCTACATCCTTATATCTCGAGTAGTCCTCCAGGACCATTTGTCCTTCAAGGAACCTAATGCTTCACCGCCTGATAACGCGATCGTCAGCAATCGAAGCCTCCCTTAATTCAGTCTCAAGACTAGACGTGGTTGTGGCAGTGTGGTCGTCCTCCGTCGTGCGCTGCTGTTGTGGAGGCGGCGACGGATCAGGTGTTTGACGATAATCTTTCAAATTGGCTTCAAGTTCTCGAATTCGTCGGCGGAGAATGTCATTTTCCCGCTTCACCGCTTCGAGTTCTGCTCGATGGTAAGCTGCTTCTTCGTACCTTGATAAAACAGAAGAGGACGTGGAGCCGGATCGTGCGCGGTCTGCTGACGTGGTGGAGAGTTGGGAAGGTGGGAGTGGGACTGTGTGCGAGGTCATGGATGTGCGGTGGGAAGGGGGATATGCAGTGCTTTGGTTGGACATGTGGTGGTGGTGCGATGAATAGTCTGCCTGGTGTTGGTTTGGCGAGGAGAGCAATGGTGACGCGTTTCCGGACTGATGACGTGATGTTACGGACGCCTCGCGACTGAGACTTCCCCGGGGAATGTCAAGGGATGGGCGTGAAGAGGAGGATGGCGCTTCCCTTTCACGAGAGGGGGCAATGCTTGTCACCCCGCCTGCTATCACCCCTGATGCTGCTCCCGCAACGCTTCTGGAACTAATGTTCGAAGATGATCGATTGCGGCGTGACGCAGTGGGATGTTGTGGATCTGAGGAGTCATTAAGATTGGTAGACGTCGAGGATGTCGTGGATGCTGCTGAGGCTGTCTGCTGGCGGAGGAGGGTGAGTTCTCGCGTGAGACGGTTTACCTGATTTTTGATATTCGTCAGTCAATTCATCACTTTTCAGGAGAAGGGGGAGGAGTTAATTCCGTACCACTGCTTCCTGCTCCTTCTCTAGCTCCAAATGTAGATCGGCAACAGTAAGGGGCCGAGGATGTCGGATTGGCCCTGTGAAGAAATGAATTGCTATGGTTAGCACACAGTAGAACACGGGACAAGGGTATGGCAGTGACAGAAAAGCAGAAAATAACCCATACCTGGACCAACCCCCACTCCAGTATTATCGCCAGACGCAAGGCCGGGTGACGTGGGGAAATGTGGAACTGGAGGCGGACCCATGACTTGCGAGACTCGTCGAGAAACTGAAGGAGAGGCTTGAGCGGATGTTGAGCTGGTAGCAGTAGGTTGCAGCACGCCCGTTGACAGTGCTCTGGAAGGGCCCCGCGGGCGTGGAGAAGGAGGAACAGAATTTAGATCGGGGGCCATTATTCTAAGAAGACGTCAAAGTTGACTTTTATTTGTAAATAAAGAGGTGCAGCGGATATATCCGTGATGTTCTTGGCTCAGAGTTGGTGTTGTCAAGGTATTAGGCTGAACTATGGTGGATATCGGGCAAGGTGCACTTCGTTACCTGAATTTGGAGGGCATGGGGTTCGAGAGGCAGGCGCTAGACTGGCCGGCGGAATGCCAATTGATCTTCCGTTCTCCGTAGTGCAGTCATACACCAGATTCCGGTTGTTATTGACGGCTGGTTTTTAAGATGAGTCGTTCGTTGTCAAATCTCCCGAACCTCCAAGTGGAGAGAGTGGACATGAACATGGAAGAGGGAAGCCAATCAGCGTGTGTAGATAGGCAACAGTCAGTCCCAGAGTTCATCAGCCCGTCCGCCCACCATGCAGATTCCTATCTGCCAATGCCTGTCTGCATGCTCTGGCGCTGGCTGTGTCTGTGCAGGTTGATGCGGGTTGTTCGAGGTTGTGGGGACGTGCAACGGAGCGGAGACTCGCCCTCAACAAACTGGATATCAGAGACAACAACAACAACAGCATGGACAAATCAAGACAACATGCTGGCAACCTGGCTGACTGGAGTTGAATCTTACATATGACCCTCGCAATAGTTGCATATTGTTATTGCTATTGTCATTATTGTTATTATTACTAGTATTATTTATTATCATTATTTTTATTATGTTAATTTCGTGGTCGGTAAGGAAATATGAAACTGATTGCAACCACCTTCTCCAATAAGGTCATCATTATAGGTGTCAATACGACCCGCAAGCTTTTGATTCGACTATACAGAGGAGGTACGCGAAAAATCAGCTATTCGATCAGCGAAAGATGAAAAAAAAAAAAAAGAAAATACTTCCGTTCCATAAAATTGTTCAGCACATTCAACGCATTAACCTGGAACCTGGAAATATAAAAATGAAACCTCACAAATAAAATGATTGATCAGCATCGAAAAACACCCATAGATAATGATTTCAACATTCATTCAAAATCACAACCAAGAAGAGTGAATAAAATCATTGGTCTTTACGCCAAAAATTGTGCCTAAGGGAAGAATTTCCCTTAATCATGAGGGGATGAGTCAGGATATCCAGTATATTGCTCCAAGTAGTTACAGTCGATCGGCATAACTACATAATGAACGACTGGCAAGTCCTGTTGAACAGCGGGGGGTTTTCTGTTTGCAAGAACCCAAGCGTCCAGTATGGAGAATATCTGAGCCAAACATAATATTTATTTCATAGCAAGTCTTCCATGACATCCTTTCACCTTGTACGGAGTACAGTAAGTACATATATAAAACCATTGAAACGCACGAAAATATGTACGAAAATATGTGGCTTTTTACCCGTGGATCGTGCTAACAAACAACTACAGCCAGACCTTTGTTGAAACGCAGGTGGAAACTGCAGCTTAGTAAAGAAAGAGATTCCAAAAAGGCAGCCCGAAGATGAATGCTTTGCTTTTGCTGTATGTTGATTGACTCAAGAAGGTGAATGATGGTATCCGCATGTGACCCAGCTACTCACATAATATGACTCGAGAAATAATCACTTAAAATTTTGCTGGGCTAGGGGTTTTCGTCTGCTGAGTGATAAAACATGTACATATATTGTCATCAAGGGGTACCTAAGACCTGTTAGGCTTCCCAGATTTGAAAGAGGTAGCAAGGGTAGGAATAAATCCGTTTCAAGCAGAAATCAGCAGAGGCTATAAGAAACAAGTTTCCGTTTTCATACGAGAATAGTAGCCAGTGTCTATATATGTATATGTACAAGATAGCAAAATAGAAAGAGAAGAACAAGCAGAGGAACACGATGTTAAAGGTGTGAAAAAACTGAAACAGGCGACATCATAGCCACTATATCGGGATGTTTCCGCCTAGAACCTGAAAATCAACAGACGAAAGCAATGGACAATGGTACCAATGGGGAATTGCTGGATGGACCAAAAACAAAAAAGACACGCAAACCTGACCAACAATTTTCGTAGACATCGTGAAAAAGATGTGGCTTATGAGGGAAAGTAATGAAATGAAACTAAACAAAAAGAAGGGGTGGGGGGGCCAACAGTTTCGCGATTTACATAAATGGACGAATAGGTTGTTTGTTTCGGACATTACCGTGAAAGTAACATAAAATGGGGCTTGTGAAATGGAGGGATGGGAGAATGGAGATGTAGGGGTTGGGAATTTAGAAAGAAAAGGGTGTGATCAAGGGTGAAGGTGGGATGGGGATGCGGGTGAGGAGGTTTGCAAAGAGCAGAGACCAGAAAGAATGAGAGACAAGAAATTATCGTCAAAACATCTACCTTCAGACTTAAATATGAGGACTGTCTAGCCAACCGTCTCCAAGTTCGTATTGCCCCCATGCATGGTTTCCGCAGTATGCGACTGCAACTCTTTGTCGCGAACGTCATTTTCGTCCTTATTAATGCTTGAATCTCCTTGTGGAGGCACAGTGGCCTGCTGGACGCTTCCCGGCTCTACTCCCAGTCCTAGATCTCGATTAGGGCGAGGGGAAATTGCATTGTCATTGGATGGCTGCTGGGTCTTTTTCAATTTTGTCGCTCCCTCAAGATGTTCGTGACGGCTGCCATTTGTATTTTCGTCGTCAATCACGGCATCGAGGCTCCTGAAATTCAATACGGGCTCAATGGCCGAGTTAAAATTGGGTGTGCTGCCAGAGCCTATGAGTTCCCCACATGCAGATCCCACCAATGATGAATTGGAGGACGAGGAGCTCGAAATATGTCGGAGATGCGATCGCTTTGCTGCTGCAGCTGATGAAGGGGCGAAGATGGAAGAAAGGTCATCATCAGAAGTCTTTAAGCTTAGCTTTGGGAGACCGGGTAATTGGGTGTCGGTATGTGGAGGTTCAGATAAGGACCCCGGACGATCAACAGCCTTTCCTTTGTCGCTCGATGGTTCAAGAACAGAAACAGGGGGCGAAAGCTCACGGCCAGTTCTGACAGCTGTGTTACTTCCAGTAGCGTCCAGAGCCACCGAGCTAGGGTTATTGCTGTAAAGGCCGTTTTTCCTCGCTAATTTTTCTGCTCTTTTAGCTTCCCTCTCTCGCCGTTTGGCCTCTTTTTTGGCTTCTTTCTCTTCCTTTTTGCGCCTTTCTTCTTCAGAGGCGAGGCTCAGTCTTATGGCTTCCATCATCATCATCTCTTCAAGTTCGTCCATCCGATTTCGTCTGGAGCTTGCACGTGCAGGCGCTAAATTTGACGTGCTTTCCGCAGGGGAATCATTTTCACGATCTGCAGCAATGGCTCGTCGCTCCGCCAAGAGAGCAACAGAGCCGGCTTGGTTAGTTGAATTATCCGACCCATGACCAGTTGTTCGTCGCAACATACGTCTACTGCTGCTTCCCATACCTCTAGTTTCAATGGGATTATTCATTGCATTAATATACGCAGCTGCATGCAACGCAGTTGCAGCAGCGGATCTCCTAGCAGCTTGTGCCCGTGCTGTTTGGAGTTTGTGAGCCCAATCGGGCCGAATTTTGTCGGTCATAATAACAGCTGGAGAATTTGCAGATAGAGAAGTGGCGCGGCGTCGAGTGGTTATCGAATGACTATTAGCATTCCCAGACACGAGGGATGATGTGGAAGACGCTGGAGAGAGGAGAGTCTTGTCCAAGCTGTTGCTGGGGATATAGCTAAGACCCCGTCGGAAAGGGGGCGGTGTATAGGAAACACCAAAATCCGGCTGTACGCAAAAAGGACAGCCTGCTGGCTCGGAGATCAGTTGTCCGTCTGGTCGGTCAGGGGATGGTGAGTTTGGATCCCGTTGTTCGTGTTCAGGGAGGTGCGGATCGGCGCGTTTGATTTGAACAAAGCATTCCGAGCAGATCCATTGATCACAGCATCTGGTTCTATTGAGATATGGGGGATAGTAAAGGAAGCATATCGGACATTCAATTGGGTTTTTGTAGAGGTACGCCTCAATAGGTTGCCCGTTAACAAACGGATCCTTGGGTAGCTGTAGCTCTCGAGGGGACATTTCGCCTGGTGAACTATGTTTAGACGATGCAGTCAGGGATGCTAAAGTTTTAGCCCGTCCACGAAAAAGATGTGCACCTGGCGAACCAGAAACGCCAGGGGAAAGCTGAGGTTGAAGGGAAATGGAAGGAGATACTGGATGGGTAGTGGAAGATAGATCGGAATTGTACGACTGAGACCTGGATGTGATGGGAACTGTCAAGTTGTTAAGATTTTGGTCGGGTAAGTCTTGATCCTCTGGTAGCCGAGGTGGAGTGAGTTTATATTCTAATTCAGGGGGTATTTCGTCAGGAGCAGGAATCAGAAGCCCTCTAGCGGCAGCCATAAGTTGGTGCTCCGTCCATGAGTCCGAAAACTCCTCTAAACCCTTCCAGAATGGGGCAAGCCTTCGCTCAATCTACATGGAAAGTTAGTCGGAAGGATAAAGCTGTAAATATATATATATTTAAACGGACCAAACAGGACGCAAAATGTTGCCAATAAAACACATACCATTAATTGACGCACAACTGCCTTATTAAAATCCTCAACACCAGTATAAACTCCTTGTGTCACCAAATAGCCACCATCCACGTGCTCCTCCTTCATGCTCCGTTCTCGTTCCTTAATCCTTGCGGCACGTTCTCTTGCTAGTCGCCTAGCATCCCTCTCCTGTTTTGTTTCCTTTCGTTCAACGAAAGAGTCTCTATCGACCGCTGGTCCGATCCCTAGAAAGGAAAGATCCGGTCGACTCCCACGAAAATGCCTCGATGAAACCCCAGGTTGTGAACTCTCCGGTTGATTATGAAAACGGCCAAGGCCTCCGAGCGCAACAGCACCACCGGATGGACCCCGTCCATGACCATTTCGCCCGGATGTTCCCGCCGGGGGCCTTGCCTCTTTGGTAGCAGTATTTCCCATAGCGGAACAATGAAGATGGTATTTAGAGTAAGTTGAAGCAGAGGATGCGGCTTCGACAGGACGTATCCAATCAGGCTGAGTGGGCAGTGTAATGGCCTTTCACTGAGAGATAGCTCACGTTGTCGACCGGGAACCTAGAAATGGGTGACTGGAGGGGTAATCAGACCCGTCGATGGCTGGAACATTAAGAATAAAAATCCGGCCATGTGAACGACAAATTCTTCAGCATTAACAAGGGAATGTGAAAGAAGACATGATAAGCTCGGGGAGACGTGATACGGGTTGGGCTTAGGTCATGAGACGAGCTCTAGCTTTGCCTGCACCGGAATGTGAGATACGGCTGAGCTTGCGACAACGGCGAACCCGGCAACACTGCACAGACACACAGTGACAGCAATGAGGAGAGCTGCATCAACCGCAGCAATTTAGGAAACACACACGATGGAAACTCCAGCGTTGTCGCACCCAGACACTCCGGATAACTCGGCGGTGCTAGTGGTGAGCATGTCAATGTTGGAAGTGGTTCATGGCTGAGAAGTTTGGTGCTTGCCTCAACCTGGTTATTCTGCCGCTGCCTGGAGTCCCGATTGGGTAATTTAATACCCACCGCCAGAACAGCGGATGCCAAGGCGTAAGTTACAATACAAGGCGTCTTATTTATTTCATTATTTCATTAGGCTATCCACAGCTTCAACACGAAGTAATTGCCAAAAGAACACAGCGGCGGCAGTGGTATCGGCAACACAGATACAGGCATGAAGTCGCAATGGCAAGCGCCTGTACGACTCGTCTTCATATCTCTCCGCTAACGCCAGAGTTGCTCCAATCTATCCTCCGTTTAGCGGCAGTTGAAGCTGCGACTGATATTTCCTTCCACTCTGTGCAAACCTTCCCCGAGAACAGCTACGGATTTGTCAACCTGTCGAAAATGGAAGCGGAGAAGGTAGCGAAGAAGCTGAATGGGACCATCTTGAAGGGGAAGAAACTCAAAATTCACGAAGCGCGTCCGTCCAAATGCCAGCTGCCAGATAGTGAAACCGTCCCAGCTCCCAGCTCCACCTCGCCTCAGTCTAGAATTGAGAAGGCTTCCAAAAAACGAAAGAGTACAGATAATATTGTCGGTGGGTTTGAATTGCCTCAAGGTCGACATGTAAAACGTGGTTGGACAGAGCCCGCAGGCCACGCCAAGCGCAGTCGCAAACCGGATGAAAAAGGAAAGCACAAGTCTCGGCCGTCGAAATATATCGAGAAGCCTGAATGTCTGTTCAGGGTTACAGTGCCTCCAAATCGGGCTGATATCACCAAAGAGAGGAATAAATCGTCAGAGAAGAAGAGAAGCAAGCACCCGAAAAAGGGAGTGGTTGTGCATGAGTTTGAGAATTTAACTACAATCCCGAGTTTTTTCAGAACTGGTGAGAAACCTTCAGAATCCAGCCTCACCAGCGAGTATTTGGATGGCAAGGGCTGGTTGGATGGCGCAGGCAACGTGAAAGAGGAGCCTGTTGTTGAAAAGAGACCTAGAGTGAAACAAGCACCAATGGAGTCAAAAAAATTCCGGGAAAGTAAGGAGGACCTAGCGGACAGAGCTACCCCGCGGGTACTGACTTCCGGTGAAGCGGACAATGATGAGACTACTTCTAGTGGATCTTCAAGTGAAAATTCTTCTGAGGAAGAGGACAGCGATTCAGATGAAAGCGATAAAACAGGCGCTACATTCTCGTCCCCCTCGTCTTCTAGCGTAAACGACTCAGCGGTGTCATCTTCCTCTTCAGAAAATGGTGCAGGGGATGAAGAAGATGTGCAGAGCGAAAGTGACGCACAAATCAAACAACCAAATAACACCCTAAAAACCATTACCCGACGATCCATCCTCGTAACTCCCAGCAAAGACTCCACGAACCCAGCCGTCACTAGGAAAGTAAGTCACCCAGCCCAAGACTCCAACCTGAACCAGCCACCGGCAATGTCCACAGAAGTTCATCCCCTGGAAGCGCTTTTCAAACGTCCCGCCAAACGACGGGGGCCCAAAGATTTGGAAACACCCTTAGAAATAAACACTCAATTCAGCTTCTTTGGCGAAGGATGTGGCGATAATGATGATATTGAACAAGAAAGAGATGACCACGCCATTACCACCATGGAGAATGGCCATAATCACTTCTCCCTCGATGCAGGAGAGCCCCAAACCCCTTTTACGAAACATGACCTTATGTCAAGAACAGTACGAAGCGGCGCACCTACACCAGACACTACTGCGCCCAACAAGAGTAGATTTTGGGGTGATTTTGATATTCATCAATACGGGAACAGTGATGGAGCTGAAGTTGGTTCAGCTACTCCCTCAAAATCAGCCGAGACTGTTGATACTGCCCCTACCGAGAAGAATAAGGAAGAGGAAAAGGATGAGAGCGAATTTGCAAAGTGGTTTTGGGAAAATCGGGGCGAGAATAATCGGGCGTGGAAGAGGAGGCGGCGGGAGGCGGCGAAAATGAAGAGGCAGAGGGAGAACAGGCAGAAAGGGATCAGGGGGAAGTAGAATGAATGGAGGGGACAGGGCCGACAAGTTCATAATTCTACTCTTTTTTCTATTCTCAGTTTCATCCCGCTCAATTTCAATTTCCCCATACATATGACTTGTTATTTCTATGCTTACTGTTGGCATTTTTTTGGCGAGGAGTCCACATGCGCAGAGTATACACAGGCTATTCGCACTAGCATTTCCCATCGAGAAAATAGAATTGAATGCTTTTCACCTGTTTATTATTATATTTCTTACACGTCATGCCGGCTTTGCTCCTATCTCCTATAAACTACAATTCCCTGACCTACTTGCGAACCTTAGGTAGAACCGTGGGGATCAATCCCGAAGTCGGGATCGGCTAAGGGACGACTGCCGAGAGCCCACGGCATATCACATGATGAATCGCCAAGCCACCAGGCTCTGGTAACATCACATCAACTGATTGATATAACATGAACATACATCGCCGTCATGATACCACGAAGTACATTCCTTATTCTTTGGCTTTTTACTGTGCCTCTCACTTCTCTTGTTTCTGCATCCAGTATGTAACTCCCTGTCTTGGCTCTTTTACCTCTTCCATCGACTGTTCTTCAATGCTAACTTGCTAACTCTACCACCTCTGAGCAAATAGCGCATACTTCATTCTGCAAATGTACCTGTTTCTCCAACAGCACAATCATCCAACTTGGACTCCCCAAAGCGGAAGCTATCTCCCCAGCGTCTGTCAGATCGTTTTTCCTGCCTCGAGATGACCAGGATTCTGAAGGCAACAAAAATGATCTAGAGAAGGGCGATAAGAAATACAGGGCACTAAACTGTAACGATTGCAATCGCCGATTTTGCCTAGAGTATGGGCTTCCCAAGTGTAAAGGGGCGAAGGAGGAGGATGTTGTCGCGTCTTGCTTCCGTAAGTGCTGCGAATGTTTTCATCCTGCTCGTGGTCACAAGTTTAAACTCCTCCGGGGGAATAAGCTTATCGCAATCTTCTTACTTTGGATACGACATACGTCGATCTCTGCAAAAGCGGCGATGGCCCTGACTAGTTTCTTTAGAGCGCGACTCCAACAAGGACAAAGCTGTCGTTTTCATTTTCATTATAGCAACGGCGGGACTATTGGTATGGGCAGCAATACAGCCGTGGGTAGAGAAATGGGTATTGGTAGGTGTTCCCCCCTTTCTCTGAGAATACTAAGCGCAAAGAAAGACGTTTCCTTTACTCGAGCGGGTGCTAACTTGTTATTCCCATTTGGCAGGCCGTAAAAGAGCGAAGATCGTATCTCCCAGTTCCGAGTCAAGCTCAATAAATGGCTGAAAACAAGCCATATACGCGATTTATATTGGAATTTTTGGTTTTGGAATACCATGTTAGGTTGGCTTTTTTCAATATGAAATTTTATTTCTTCAGGGTTTTTAATTTTTTTTTTTTTGTGTCGTGTTTTGGAAACCCATTACATCGTATACCTATCTAGCAAACGGTTAGGGTTTTACTTCTTGAGAAATGACCAGGAATTTCAGTACGGATATTTTACTCGCTTTTTTAGTCAGTTTTTATTGAATCGGCTTTCCTGGTAAAACCCCAAGCCCTCAAGATTTCACTCGAGAACCTGGTTTGGACATCGTTCTTGGTTGGGGACAAAGGTGATATTGTGCTGTGTCCGGAAGACTTTCAATACCCACACCACCATAGGCTGAAACAATAGGTGTTCAATTAATTCAATTCCTACTCCGTAGTTTATCGCAACTCTATGTATTACCATTTTTCGTCAAACTCGAAAATTTTTCGGTGGCGTTGACCAGAACCTTCGTTAAACCATTGGCTAACTTTCAAAGTACCAGTACTTCAAGTACTCTCTCGCGATATGGATATGCGGGCTAATGGACCATGCTTGACAGGTACCTGGTACTTGACCTTGTGTCGATCGACTGGCAACTTTGGTACGGACCAAAGAAAGCTTAAAAGAACCCTGTGACAGATTGCTTCACGCTGAGTTTATTTTGTGGTCAACAAAAATCGCTCCACACCCTCTTGCTCCCGCATTCTATCGTGCTCGAAGTATTGGGGACCTGAGGCCCAACTCCAGACATTAAAAAGAGAACTTCAGAGCGAGACCCCGATGTGTTCCCCCTCTTCCCATCGCAAGGATTAACCGGAATTTGAAGTTAGACAAGAGTGCTGGATTCGTGTGGAACGGGTAGCCGTAAGGATCAAGTTAATCCCTCAAGAATATGAAATTAACGCGTCAGGCGTGACCAAACGCCTCCATCTCCGCCAACGACGCGGCAAATACTACCACTACACCCGCTGTGATTCAGCACGATTCCCCCGATGCAGCCTTTCCTACAATTCAACTCTTTATCCTGGGTAAGTGTAGCTCCCATCCTTGTGTGGGGTTCATCACTTTTGTTGTTTTCCATCGTGCGCACTGACACTTTTGTCCTAGCATTATGCCGCCTGGCCGAGCCCATCGCCTTAACCTCCATTTTCCCTTACTCGTGGATTATGGTTAGAGACTTTGGCATAGGCCTCCCGAGCAATGCCTCATTTTACGCGGGGATTCTTATTTCTGCTTTTTCTCTGTCGGAGAGCTTGACAGGAATGTTCTGGGGTGGCCTCTCTGATAGAGTTGGCCGCAAGCCAATCCTGCTCTTCGGTTGCGTAGGTACCACGCTTTCCCTGCTTATTGTCGGGTTTCCACTAGTTTCTGGGTAGCACTATTTGGGAGGGTCCTCGGTGGCATTCTGAATGGGAATATGGGCGTTATCCAGACGATGGTAGGGGAATTGGTAAAGAGGCCAGAACATGAACGTAAGATTTTTCTGTCATTTATTTTATTTCAAGTGTATTCACTCTTGAAATATGTGCTCCTACGGCTAACTGTGTTCTCCCACAGCCCGTGCTTATGCTGTTATGCCATTTGTCTGGTCTATTTGGTACTATTATCGGTCCTGGTAGGTTTTATACACCAATAATCCGATTTCTTCTTGGGCTTGGATGTTTAAATACTGATTGACCATCATTGTAGCTATTGGAGGCTGCTTCGCAAGACCCGTCGACTCCTTCCCGGAAGTATTCTCGCGTTCTGGGATTTTTGGGAAATTCCCTTATCTTCTTCCCAATGTTATTTGCGCTTTTCTGCAGCTTATGAGTATCATTGCAGGGTATATGTTCTTGGAAGGAACTCATCCTGACCTACTAAGGGGCGCCGCTGCTGTCCAGCATCCCCACGATTTTGACGAATTTGGGGCACCGCTGAGTGCAGTTGCTACGGCAGGCTCTACTGCTCACGCCTCAGCTGATCTACGAGTAAAGTCATACGGGACCTTTAATGACGTCGACATGCACCAGGACGAAGAATGGGATGTTAAACCGGACGGCAAGTCATACGAATGTTCTGCCGCCAAAAAAACAAAAGTTTTCACGTACCGCGTAACCATGCTTGTGATTGCATTGGCGATATTCACCTATCATTCCATGACTTACGATCATCTACTCCCGATATTCCTCCAAGATGATAGAACCGGAACAGCCTCCATACTCGGGAAATATGTTCTGAAGATCCCCGGCGGCCTAGGTCTTTCAGTCCAAACAGTCGGAATGATCATGGCTGTTAATGGTGTAATCGCGCTTCTAATCCAAGCCATAGTCTTTCCACTCCTAGCAGAATGGCTTGGGGTTTGGAACGTCTTCGCGCTCGTCACCGTTTTGCATCCAATCGCATACTTCATCGTCCCCTTCCTGACATCTCTCCCGCAAAAATTGCTCTTCCCTGGGATCTACACCTGCTTGACTATCCGCAACTTCTTCTCCATCCTGGCCTATCCAGTCCTGTTAATCCTCATCAAACAAGCCTGCCCATCACATTCCGTAATAGGTAAAATCAACGGCCTCGCCGCTTCCGCTGGTGCAGCGTGTCGAACAATCGCCCCACCGATAGCCGGGTATCTTTACAGCATTGGCTCGCGAATCGAGTTCACTGGCCTCGCATGGTGGGGTAGTGCAATCGTTGCTATTGTGGGAGCTTTTCAGCTATACTTCATGCATGGGAAAAAACACACGGCGGTGTCGGTTACGGCGCCATCTGTCTTTCTTCACCATCCTCATCAAGGGGAAGAGGAGGTACCATTAATCCCAGAAGTTATCCATGTTACTGTACATGATAACACTTAGCGGGAACGTCCCTTTGTCTTAATTATACTTCCCTCTACCCCATATATTCTCTCTCTCACAACACCTTTTCGTTGATTTACCATTAACATGTCTTTCCACACTATAACACAGAGAGTGATAGGATTATTTATCTTTCACCGGCGGCGCTAACTACCACTTGCAGGTGATGGATTAAACGATATCTAGTGTTATTAGTGTTCTTAAAGAGAGTGTTAATGAATATTTTACGGTAACGATTATATGTAGTATATATATTTTTTCATCCTTGTCCTTTCCATTCTTACAGCTTGATTTGATACTCCCCATTTGCCAGACAAAACCCTAACTTTTGCATCATCGCTCTGGAGTAAATTTTGAAACAGAAATAATATGATTTTATTTCAATAGTTAACTACATATCTCATCGATATAACTTGCAATTTAATTCTAACAACTGGGTGGATGCTGCGAGCACCGATAAATAGATTTTGACGCGTGATCATATTTTATAACCATTTTGCAATTTATACCAGTCCTTCAAGGTATCCCACCAAGGGTTAATTATGGTCTACCATAAAGGTAGCTTGATTGAGGAGTAAGTTATAGGCATCCATACATTACCATTTCGATATTTTGTGGATTTTTCACGTTCCCAAACCCATAAAAATCGTGCTAGATCATAAGTAGTTTAGCTTTGTTTACTTCATTGCTCTCCAGCACAACTGCCACAGCAACCACCACCGAATACGCTCCACGAAATATCTTATCACCGTCAACTTTTTGGCTGGATCACGCGAAACAACCACACAGTTTCCCTGCCTCATTGAACCCGTGGAACAATCATATACAATTTAGAGTTTAAGAGGAACTCGGTTTTTGTAATATTTGCCTTCCAATGCCTTCGCTCAAGTCAACTTTACTGACGACGCTAGGTTCGAGCAAGCAAAAAACGAAAAATATCCACACGAGGTGCAGACTGGCCCTCGAAGATTTGCTCCCAAGATATGGCGGAAACAATGGACAGCCCTCTATCCATCCTGACGCCTTCAAAACGAAATTCTCGCCCTCTGTTTTCTCCCGGCGCAAGTACCCCGCGAATGCAAGGCTCCCCAACTGTTAAACCCACAACGATCGAAAATGCCGACAGCACTACACCAATGAAAAGCCCACTTTACAATGATGAAAATAGGTTCCCTTCGGTATACGATGATTCTCCCGCCCGTTTAGAATTGGGTGGTCGTGGTGGGGATATGCTTTCCAGTGCCAGGAACGACAGCGCTCTAAGCTCGCCATTTCAACCAACCGTTTTTAGTGAATCCACGCATCTCTTTCGAACAGCGGAATCTGGTAACTTTCGTATGGATGAACTGCAAGAAGAGAAATTGGATAGTCGGGAGCTCATGCATAGTGTTGAAGAAGCGAAGGAAGAGGATTTACATGGAGATGCCGAGCTTCCTGCCATTAAGGAGGATATAGTTGGTGGCGATGACGATACACATCCGCCTATTGAGGGTGCTAATCAAGAGTCACACGAGACAGAAACCGACACTAGTATGTTCGACCGCCAGTGCAACCGGACTAACTACGGTGAGCTATCCAACATCACAACACAGGAGACAAATAACGAAAGCATGAGCACTATCTACCAAGGTGGCTTGGCCGATAATGTGGCGATGGTGGACAATGATGGTGGGAGCGATCGTTACACCTCGTATGATCAGGACGATACACGCCTGAGCACTTTCTCCGCTATCCCCAATATCGACATGACTACTTTTGATCAACTGAGACGAGACTCACCAATGAAGAGGATGAGAGAATGCTCCGTGAGTCCCCATAAAAATGTTCGCGTCGCTAGATGTCCGGACGACATGGCTGAAACTCCTAATACAATCAAGAGGAGAGGTATTTTTTCGGAGCAAGATGGAGGTACACAGACACCTGGCCGAAATTACCCTCGTCGTGACAGCCATATGAGTTATACCGAAATTACAAACCAGATCCATGCGTTTTCCCGCGCCTCATACGCAGCACAGGGCGGGTACCATTCTCCATCTCGTCGACAGTTTCGATTTTCCCCAGCAAAATCAACAGCTTCCGGACTGCGCTCCCCGTCCAAATTCTCCTTACTGGACTTAGATATTCCCCCTGCTCCTACTCCTCGCTCTATTCCTAGTATTACTCCTAGAGAGTTAGAATCGTTGAAGTCTTCGTTCCTTTCGGAAATATCATCACTAAAGGCAACACTTAGTGGAAGAGATGCTGAAGTTAAATGTTTGAAAGAATCAGTTTCGGATGCGGAACGAAGGGTCGGCGAAGTATCAGAGGAGCTGAGAAATGAATCGGCTCGGAGAGAAGCCGAACAGCAAGAATGGGATAGAAGGGGTAAAGAGATGGAAACAGTGTTACGGGGCGTCAGGGATGAAATTGTTGATGCCGAGCGTGAACGTGAGAGGCTGAATAGGAAAATTGAGGAAGGGGAAAAGTGCAAGGAGAAATTGGAAGGTAGAGTTGTGGAACTGGAGAGCCAGCTTTCTGCCGCAAGAAATGCAGCAAATTCCCCTCCTAGCGAGGATGATAGGAAATCTGCCGAAGAAACTGCGAAAGAAGTCCAAGATGCTGTCGAGAAGGTTGCTCGGGAATTGCATGCACTTTATAAAGGAAAGCATGAGACTAAAGTTGCGGCTCTCAAAAAGAGTTATGAAGCACGATGGGAGAAACGCGTTAGAGAAACAGAAAGGAAACTGAAGGAAGCATTGGAGGAGAATGAACGCTTGAGGGCAGAAAAGGATTCTAACAATTCTGGTGCGGAAGAGGGGTTCTGCGGAGAGGCTACATTTATTCGAGAGACCGAATCTCTGGAAGCAGAGAAGCGGGTTCTTGAAGCTCGTGTTAAAGGACTAGAGCAAGAGATCATATCCATTAAGGGTGATTGTGAAACCCTTCGATCTGAACTGAAGCAGGAACGTGCAGAAAAGGGGGAACTCGTTGCGGCTGTTGATGAGTGGCTTGCAATCCAGCAATATCAACACCAGCAGCAACACCATCACCAAGATGAGGAACAAGCCGAGGAAGACCAAATGGTCCAAAACGAACAGGATGAACTACTGCAACAACTGCAACAGCAGCGGCCGGGACGAAAACTTCCCGAACCACCCATGTCACATCAGCGTTCGCTTTCCAAAGACGAACCACCCACCACACGATCGGATAGCAGCGTCGAAAATTCAATCCAAAAACCAGGAAATGAGAATTACTCTGGCCCCAGTACTAGTAATATAGGCCGTATCCAAGCTCCTTCATCTTCCTCATCTGCCATTCGGCCACGTAACATGGCTGCAGCTGCACAGCCATCTGGAGGTCCAACGCCAAGGGTTCCTAGATTTGGAATGCCGCCTCCTCATCATTCGAGGGGAAACAGTGGGAGTGGGAAAGCCGGAGGTATTCCTGCGGCTGGGGCGGGGAGGAGTGGGATTATGAGCTCGATTGAGAGGATGGGGAGAGGTGCAGGTGCTCTTTGAACATTTTTATCCAAAGTCGTGTTGCTTGGATTGGAAGATCATGGAGGGATGTAATTGGCATATTCTTTTCTTTTCTTTTCTTTTCTTTTCGTTTTCATATTTTATTAGTTCTTTATGTTTATGTTTATGGTTCATGATTTCCTTTGTTTTAACGAGAAATGGTGATTGATTTTGTGATGTCGTTTTATTTGCCCTGTTTATGTGAATATCAAAGAAGATATGTTATGGCCCATGCCCGTTCCATTTTCCTTTCTCTTCATCAATTCCTATTTCATTCTTCATTTTGTGATGTGATAGATATTTTGTTATGAAGGGTTTTGGTGGTTGGAGGTTTTCTATGGGTCTGTAACTGAATACCCGACAAAATTATGTCTATTAGAGACGCTTCAACATTTTATGTTTTTTTTTTTTTTCTTTTATAGGTGCTCTTTGTGTGAGAGTAGATTAGCCTATTGGGGATGTTATTTACATTGTTAGGATAGAGAGTTCAATTTATCTGACAAATAACTTATGACTACGCTGAGACAGGAAAAAACATGGATTATTGTCAAGGGAAGTATTATCCAATAGCAAATGAGAATTTAAAATCTCGAGGGGGCATAATATAAATTAAGAACAAGATATTATGGAGGAGCAAAGGCGAACGGATCAGAGAAGACCAACAAGATGCATGGGTTATGGTTGTGTTGCTGATCCACGAGAGCAGTTTGATTTGGTCTTACTTCGAGTCCTTTTTCGGCTCCTTTTGTTTCTCTAACTTAATGACATGACTCACTTCTTCCGCGATGTCATAGGCAAATGGATTTCTTATCCAAGGTAGCGTTGGCAGGCGGCCTGTCATCGCAGGATGGGGTGTTAGCCAAATTTTGTCGTGTTTGAAAGCCGGCTGATATGATGAGAGCTCACCCATGATAAAAAACACGAGGTACAACAGCCATTCCTCAAAGATGTTCAAGTTTCTCTTCTTATTCTCCATTCTTTTCGACTTCGTGAGAATATCCTTAACCCGCGGCTGGCGGATTTCCATGTACTTTTTCGAAGTCTGCGAAATCGCGCCCGTCTCCGCTTCCGTTATCGCCGCTGGCTCCTCTGGAGATTTGCCATCGTATGCTTTCCTCAAATAATGGGCCAGGAACATCGTGAAACACTCTACATCCTCCAGCGCCTGCGACGTTCCCTGTCCAGAAGTTGGGGGCAATGTGTGCGCCGCATCTCCAATCAACACAACCCCGTCACGCTCCCATGTTGGCAAGTCAGGGGTCGTCCATACAGGATACATCGTTTCGACATTGACACTGCTGATAATCTTCTGGATTACGGGGTTTCGCCAGTTACCATGCCGCTTCTGCAGGTCTTGCTTCACGGCTTCTTTATCGATGGTCTTGGGGTTGGGGCATTCGTCAATCTCGTATGTGGACCACCACATAACGGTCTTTCCAGGAGGCATCACTCCTTGCGGTATGTGTCGGTTAGGAGCTTCAGGACTGGTGTCTGAGGGAGCATAGCCAAAGAAACCGTTCCCTCCAAACACAATAGTCATGGTGCCTGCTTCGACATCTGGCCTGACATCGGCCAGGGGCACAAAGCCACCAATACCAACAATTCCCCTATGGAAAAAGAATATTAGATGGATGTTAGATGTGGGGAGGCCTAAAAACTCAACTGGTAATGTGGAGGGTACGGATCCTGAGTTTCGCCAGGAAAGAGGGCCTTCTTCGCCACGCTCCTCAAGCCATCCGCGCCAATTACAAGATCCGCCTCCACGTCTGCGCTCCCATCCGCGAATTTGATTGTATTTGGTCCATTCGTATTTGATACGACCTCCGCGACACGTTTAGTCACAATAACTCCATCCGGAATGCGACTCCGTAGAGTCCTCCAGATCGCATGTCTGCTCATGGAAACAGAATTAATCTCCGGATCAGAACCGCAGCGACTAGACATCCGCATCATCGTGAAGCCATAGGAGTTCATAAACTTCATTGCGGCATAGGGGTAACCGGCCCGCACAACGTCGTGGAAAAGTTCCTCATCCAGTCGTCGGAGTACCCTTAGCCCATTGGGGCCTACACCAAGACCTCCACCCACAACAAGGGAGGCAGAATGGGTTTCGCCCAGCGAATGCGGCGATTCAAAGTCCCGGGGTGTAGCGTAGGCTTCATAGATGGTATACTCGTGATCCTGGGATGGAGATAATGGCTTTGGGAGACGCTTTTTCAAGGAAAGATAGGCGGCGCAACCGCCAATGCCTGCGCCTATTATGGCGATTTTCATTTTTGTTTTTGTAGTGCGATGAATGGACGAGATAGATGATATGTTGAAACAAGATACTCTTCAGCAGGTACACTGGGGAAGTGCTGCCTCGGGCAGATGACTGAATATTTAATCGCTGAATTGTTGCTTTTTACTGTTAATTTTGCTGCCTGGCTTGTATACATTCTGCTTCGCACGCCTATCGAATCGTGCCCAAAGACGCCAGCGTCATGCAAGTCAACAACCACATATTTTGGCCATTTTAGTCAGGCTTCCATATATTGATGAAAGAGGTGACAGGGTCAAATAGGAACTCGCTGGCTCTCCGAAAGGTGAGTGGCTAGGCAGCAGAAATACCCGGCCGGGAATGGGGCCATTTACCTGACCCTAACCTAACCCTAACCCTAACCAACCCCTTAAAATACAGCGTAAGTTAACATCGACCAACTCAATCATCAACCCCCCATCAATATCCTGATGCCAAAGACAATCAACGCAGGACAACGGCTTGCTGTCACGGCAGACGCTTTGCCCTCAAGAACAATGCGCTAGAGTCCCTCGGTCCTGAGTCTTTCTAGTTGACACGGTGTGTGGAAAGATGAGTTGATGGGTTATTTTTGGGGGAGGGTGTCATGAGCTCCATGCCATTGTAGGGTAATCTGAAATCAGGATCTATACGTAGTGAATAGGATTATCAAATTCGGGCCACACTCATGGCCCAATATATTGAGCAGCCCGCATTCAACAATGGTTGATATTTTGTATCACGCAGTAATGCCATACAATGGCCTAACCCACTCCTTACCGGGAAAGGTAGTTGTAGAAGTGGGTGGTGGCAGAATATTCTGAAGATTCTGCGATGTAACTGTCATCAGTGGCCAGTGGTTGCTCAGCCATAGATTGACTGCTCATTTCATTGTCCCAGGCAACATCTGCCTAATCGACAGCTAGATATCTAGTTTCGTCGTCTTATATATTATAAATCAGCAATTATGAGCGAAACATGCTTGTCAGCATCCATAATAGGCCAGCTAAAGGGAGGGCAAACAAGTTGGAAAAAAAAAAAAAAAGGACCGCCCAGAAAGCAAAAAGCGATATCGGGGAACAGTTTGCTCAGAGCACCTCGGCCGAGAAATTCCCCAACAGAACTGTTGCTATCCCCGACTGTCTCCGCAATCCATCCGCTAGTTCCCCCGCATCGTTCCCCTCAATGTTCACTATCATGACAGTTATTGTTGTATCCTTCTCTTGGGCAATAGTTCATCTACCGTTCTCCTGATCCAACGTTTATCGAGAATCGCTGGCGAATCAATAGACGTCTGCTCCAGTCCGGAGGAAATGGTACGAGTTTTTATCCTTCCGATGGGTAATATGTATGTAAGGAAAATATAATAAAAATAGCTGTGAGCGTAAATATAGGCTTCGTTGCTCACCAACCTACATTCCCTTGGACTAGCCGCTAGGGAATCCCAATCGTGCACATTTCCAATAGAGGAAGCTCGATTGTTTAGCACTCGTATAAAATAGGGGTTGAGGAGCATGGAGTCTAGATCAGCGGCATGCCGTTCTTGGTTGACACAGGGCGATAAATCCGTCAATGCGGAGGGGAGTTGTCAGAATCTGGCCTTTTTTTTTTTTTTTTTTCCGCTACAATCCTGCCCTACCCCGGCGTACCCAAATAAATGAGGCTATTTTAGAGAGCTGCTTCTTTTCCATTGTCTACGGACACCTGAGCAAATCATAACTTGCAAACCCCAGAGTGCTAGCGCATTCAGGGTGCCCTTGCGGCGAATACCGCGGCTTGCGGAACGGACTATTTCCGGACAATTGCGGAGCACGTTTTGCGAAGTTCTCCACGGTTTTGGGGTGGGCTTTAGCTAAGAATGATAATAATGTTGATGACATGAAGGCCAGCGTCTCATTTCTGGGGGGATGGCTCAGAAGTTCTTGACTATTTTGGACGAGTGGAATGCGCCACGCACGCGGGAGGGGCTTTTTGCAAAAGAAAATTGGAGAAAAGGGTTCCAACAGATAAAATATGGCTAGGTACGCTTCCACGAGATCGAATGAACTCCGCAATTCTAGAAAAAGTCAGAATTTTTCCTTCGTTACCGAGTTCTACCAAATTTTGTCAACAGCTTGAACTTTGAGCGGGATGAAAGAAATAAAATAGTGACCGTAAATAATTCACCGGAAAATAAGGTGGCCCTGTCCAAAGACTTAGTGGTCAAAGACACAGGAGCTATTTTAAACTTCACGAATACTGGGTCAATGCTCCATAAGGATCGCGTGGCTGGGGCATTAGACAGCACAAGGGAGGCATGTAACCAATCTTAGCCTGGTGGAGAAAATTCCCTCGAACTCCCTCCACAGCACGCTGAAGCAGTTGGTGAGAGGCCTTCCTCGATGGCTGTTGCTTGGGCAGTCTCTACGGGGCTAGCTACTTCGAGAATGGGCAATTAGGGTATACAGATCACGGGGGACTCCAGGCACTGCCCAGGTGGGCAACTCGCTCAACATGCGCAGAACTTCTATCTAACCTTTCAGCAGAGAGGGCGTTCTTGAAGGTGAGGAGAATGACAGCTGCCACCGAGCCCTGCATACCTAGGGCATGCCGCTAATATTATTAGTTGCGAGTGTTGTTGTTTGTCATTCTTCGTGCGCCTACAGTGTTGCCTCTCCCCGCTTTCTTCATCGGGTTCGCCCCTCGTAATCGAAAGCCAGTCGCGTGGCAGCGATGGATCTCCACAACAGGCTAGCCAAAAAACCTCCGTCGCTGAGCGTGATGGCTCGGATCAATGGGGTCTGGATGAACGTCTCGGAAAAATCCTTCCAAGTCCATTGCTGGGGATGTCTGTCGATAAAGTGATATCCGCCCCAATTCACGTTGTGAAAGCCAAACGAGCAACCTCGGCCTTTAGTCCAGTGGTTCGAACCCCGGGCTGGATGGAAAGCACCTCGATTCAAACTTTGTGTAGGTTGAGCAAACCAACATCTCGATCTCGAAAGTTCAAACTCGCACGTGTAGGGCCAGGGCTGGGATTTCCTGAGCCAAGGTTGCACAACAACTTGTTTCGTTCCACAATCTGGCCACCTGACCGCCATAAACTCGAAATGTGGTTCTATGACAAGGAGCTGCGACAGCAAAACAACTTTATATGTCGAAAATAATCATCAATGTCAAGCAGTCCTGCTATCCTCAACTCTCTATGAAATTACAATGATTGAGCAAACAGTAGCGCGCATGAGGAATGATAAATGATTTGCGGTTAAATTCACCCTCTTGGAAGAAGAGACATCCCGATCTGATATTCGCGCAGGGCAAGAAAACTGTATGCTGAGAACTAGCAACACATAATTAAGAATGCATGGCCCACTGAAAACTTAGTTCTTTATGTCCGGGGAACCAAGGTTGAACAGTTGTCCCTGACCCGTAACCTTGGAAGGGCACCGAACACCGAACACCATCAGTCGCAGCCCGAGGCAAGTTTCCCAGCTTGGCAATTTCCTGCGAACATTACTAGGAGTTATCGATTTCCACCAAAGTTTATTGGATGGCAAACCGGCGGGCAAAATCAATGATCAAAATATGAACGTTGCCACTTTAAACATGAATGGGAAATTCATATCATCATCGGCTGCCCAATGCGTAAGTTGGCGCAAACGGTCCGGCTCTCGGCATTTCATCACTCGAGCGCAATTCTGAGGCATGGAAATGATAAAAAATAGAATATTGGGCGCAAACTCAAACGGTTTTTACATTACTTAAAAGCTCATATACTGTAAGTCGCACATTTGGACATTATTACTAGTTCATGTCAGAGCCAGTCATGGTTGGCCATCGCTTGAGCCTTCCCAGGTAATGTGAACTTTTAGATCATGAGAACGCATCCTTGAGATGCCGGACCAGAACTTCGGCAAAAAGACATGCAAGATCTTGGCAGGAAAATTCTTTTCTCTGCCAACTACGCGGCGAAACTAACCACTAACCAGTTACAGTAAGCGGACTTGCTGCGTACTCGGAGGCGGGCTCTCGGCGGTTCATGTGGGGTTGACTCTGCCTGGACTTGGTGATTGGTGGTTCAACTCCTTTTCTCTCCTGTTGCAGGAATTCTGGGAAATTCTTAGTCCCATTGTCAACCCAGTCTAGCGTCGAGGAGTGCCCAAAAAGGCGCGCTGTTTCGTCATTTCGTGACTCCGTTTGCGAGCTTGAGCAGTCGTCAATTGTTCCAGGAGCTCGTGGTTTTGGCGCCCCGCCACAACCCCAGAACAACCTTGGAAGGTTCTCCACAGATCCACTGCGCATGGAATGAAGCCCGCAAGTCCCATATCTGATATGGGGAAGGCGAAAATGGCAAAGAGCTGTGGATTGTGGATTCAGCTTGGAGAACGAGCAAGCTTTGCACCGGAATGCACTGGCCTACATAAGAGCTCATTCCCCTCCCGACCTCTCCCCTTTTCGTGTATTTTGGCATCTTCTCCCTTACAAATCCAATTTGCGTTAGTTAGGAACTCTCCACCTTTCGCGTTTTGGGTTTTTGGAGAGCGTTATATTGGATCATATCATATCCTATTCACATTCGCGGTTCCTTTTTGCTTTCAGATTTTTCCTTCATAAATGAGTTGATTTTGGAGGCCGACTGCTAGCTTTTGAAAAGTTACCATCTCCTGCATACTACTCTGCCTATTGTACATTTTGCAAAGTTCCTCGCGATGGTCTCTATTGAGGCAGTGGAACCCCAGCGGCAGAATAAGCGGAAAGCCGCGGCTGCAGGCATTCAGACGACATCACGCGCGATAAAACGGCGAGCATCGAAGGCTTGCTGCTGTTGCAGGGCGCGCAAGGTCCGATGTGATGTGGTAGAAAATGGTTCTCCGTGTACCAATTGCAGATTGGACGAAGTTAAATGCGTCGTCACCGAGAGCAAGCGCAGAAAGTCAGTTTGCTTGCCCAAGAGCATAACCTCTGTATATAACTTGAATGAAAGCTTATAGAGATCGGCTCTCAGGAAATCCCGAACTGAGGGAAGTGCTTCAAAGCCGTCACAAGTACAATCCGCCAACACACCAGATGATTCCGCATTTGCCTTCAACACCAATAATGATGATCATATCAGCGCACCCATTCCTGATCCGCTAGCTCCGTTGTCCCCAAACCAACTCTCGGCTGATTTCGACCACGGCCACCACGTTCCGCACCTGCTATGTTCGTCTTTTATAACCTTCCTAGATATGACCTTACCATTTTATTAATGTTTTTGATAGATCAAACTCAAGGCAGCCGGATCAAGCATGAACATCGACAGCGCAGAATGTCAAGCATTTCGGCCCGTCCAGTTGCTCAATCCTTGCGCAATATGACCTCTGCTGTTCAACAATTACTTGATGTTGATTTTGCAGGCCCCATTTCCCCAAAAACCTCCCAGCAAGCTAAAGGCTGGCTGCCCAACTTTATTCGTCCTCTTCCGGCGAAGTTTCAGTCTGACGATATTGCGTACCTTGAAGCTAAGGGTGCTTTGACAATTCCGAGTCAGGGACTTCGCAAGGAACTTATGAAAAGCTACCTGCAATTCGTCCATCCGTACATGCCGTTGTTAGAATTGGATGATTTTTTACGGACCATGGCGCGGAATGATGGTTCTCTTCGCATGAGCCTTCTTCTGTTTCAAGCAACTATGTTTGCTGGGACGGCCTTCATTTCTATGAAGCACCTGATAGAGGCAGGATACGAATCAAGAAAGGAGGCCAGGAAAGCTTTCTTTCAACGGGCTAGGGTATGGAGAATTATATTTGTTTTGTTGTCTGGGTTTCTCACTAACCTATCTTTCAACTTCTAGCTTTTATATGATTTCGATTATGAAGCTGATCGGATCTCCTTGGTCCAATCCCTTTTGCTGATGACTCACTGGTATGAAATGCCGGATGACCAGAAAGATACTTGGCATTGGATGGGTGTGAGCTTATCCCTTGGACATACCATCGGCCTCCATCGAGATCCATCTACCTCCTGTATGGACTCTCGACGCCAGAAACTTTGGAAACGTGTTTGGTGGAGTATCTACACCCGTGACCGACTTATCGCCCTTGGGATGCGACGACCCACACGGATCAAAGACGAAGACTGCAATGTTCCTATGCTCACGTTAGACGATTTTGATATCCAGCCTCTCTCCGCGGAAGCTCTACAAATTGTTGGAGATTGTGAATTGGTCCATAACATTGATCAGCAACGACAGCTTGCATCCATGTTCGTGGAGAAATCCAAACTATGTCTTTGCATAAGTCATGTCCTTCGCGCGCAATATTCTATTCTTGGACACAAGTTTGGAGGCACGACAGAGACTACAATGATGTTGGTCCCAAAAAAGGCTACATCGGAAACATGTGAAGTCCGAAAATGTGATCAGGAACTGGAGGCCTGGCTGGCTGATCTCCCGGAAGCGGCTCAGTATCGACGCTCTTCATCACCCAGCTTTGCTAATGGGGAAGAAGTCCTTCATATCCATCGGGCATTGCTGAGGATGATATACCTCACAACCTCTAGTGCATTACATCGTCCACAAGTTCTTCCACCTACGCCATTCCCAACGGTTGAAACTGGGCTTCAAGATCTGTCCCGCAGCAAAGTCCGCTCTGCTGCAATTGAAATCACAGATATTGCCCAACGCTTGCATACGATGGACCTGACACGTTACCTCCCAACCTCTGGAGTCACCGTTCTGCTCCCTGCCGTCATCATCCACCTCCTTGATATCAAATCTAATGACCTCAATGTTCGATCCGCCAGTTTGCATCGCTTTTATCAGTGTATGCAGATCTTGCAAAGACTGAGAGAAATTTACGCCTCTGCAGACTTCGCAACTTCCTTCCTTGAGGCTGCCATTCGGAAAGCTGGTATTCAAGTTACTACTCAGGTTCCTCAAGGGCGACCGGTTCAACCAGGCGCAATTCGTTTCTCAACCGGACATGTCGATACCTTGACCCCGCCTCCAGACAGCATGACGGATAAAATTCCGGACTTCACATATCCCTCAGTTACGCCCAATGTTCACTTCGCACAGGTGGAGAAAAAACCGGATACTTTTTACACTTCAACTCCACCCCAATCCGTGGGAAGTGAAAACGGAAGCATTAACAACATCCCCCCGGATTTTTTCTCGGACGAAGCCCATGTCAACGGTGCTGAGGATAGTGATTCGTACCTTGCAGAATTCATGAATCTTGCCCACGATGCAGACATCAACCAGAACGACCTCGACGCATTGATAAATTTCGATGATACAGGTGCGAACTACTATGCCAGCGAAGATGTCGTTAATGGCATTGACCCCACAATTTCGAGCATGTCAAACGACAACAGCAGCAGATTCAGCCTTGATCACATCGACTGGATGCAAGACTTTCCTGAGAACAACAACAACCACCACAACATGGGTACAGACAATAATAATCACATGCAAATGGACTCTCATCATGGCCAGAACCCGTTGGACTCCGACGACAAAGCTGGGGAACAGGTCGCTACGTCCGACAGATACTCGAAGCATGCATTCGTGGAGAATGTAGGCGCAAACGCTGCGAGCCCCATGTCTCCTAACGGATCCGAGTCATTTCAACTAAGAGCAATAAGCATGCCAATTGGTATGGGCTTCAATCCATCGATTTGACCTAGTGTATGTGACTCATGTCCTGATATGCCAGCAATCCACAATCCTTAATGTAACGACACAAACTTTTAAAACTGTTTTCCGCATTTTTTTCTTCTTTTCCTATTTTTATCACGAAATATCAAATTAGACCTGGGTGTTTACACGGACTGGTTTGTTTTTATTCACTTTTTCTTCTTCTTTTTTTTGCTTGTTTGTGTGTGTGTGTGTATTTGTTTGCTTCATTTGTATGTCATTTGATTTATTATATTGCTGTATGATTTCTTCATTTCTCCCTCGCCTCTTCTTTTTTTCAGCCCGGAAAACTTCGGCGAGCCATGATGATTGATCCTTTTACTAAAGAAAATAATACACTTAATAAAAGTAACAAACGCCTTCGGTTGCCTTCTAGTTTCAAGCTGTCCCTGTCCATTTCCCCCTTTTTTTCTCTTGCCAACGTGGAAGGGAAGAAAGGGGGGTTTCCCATTAAATTTTATCACTTCTTAAGAATTCTATCTGCTGCTGAGTCCCAGGATGCAACGCCAAGTTCGAATTTCCTTCATCAGCCAGGGTTCAAACTGAAAGTTTTCCACAGCAGGTTGCTGTGTCACGTTTGTTAATCACCCTGCATCTCCCTCTCCTCTATTGCTAGAGACAAAGGCAAGGCACAATATACCCCCCTCACCCCTATTATATATCCAGTCTATACTGGAATATTGGAATATCATATTGCACCAGGGACGCGAGACCACGCTCCAGGAGCCAACTCCGACTCCAACTCCGGCTCCGACTCCGACTGACTCGACTGACTCGACTGACTCGACTGACTCCGTTGACCCCGACGGCGGATACCTCGCGCATATCCCATTTTGCTTTCTTGGAATCAAGACATGATCTTTGCCGAAGAACCCCCCATTCCCCATCCATTCTACTCAGTTCTCCTAATACCAAGGGGCGAGGGGAAATGAGCACGATGATCGGCGATTCCGGGCTCCCGGTTCAGAGGACTGTTTGCGTTGATGCGTTGATGCGTTGAATGTTGAATGCTGGATGAGATTTACCGCAGGACTATGAACTATTTATTAACTACTAACTAGTATAGGCTTATAATAGGCCCCTATAGCGCAGCTAACAACACCAACAACAACAACAACAACAACAACAACAACAACAACAACAACAACAACAACAACAACCCCCTTTCCCTTTCCCTTGCCCTCCCCCAATCTATGCGCGAAATGAGGTTGCGACCATGTTTATATATTATTCTCTCTCAGTCCTTGGGACTCGGTCTGTTCCATTTTTACAATTTTTCTTCCATATGCGTTGACAGGCAGTGAGTGAGTGGAGTGAATTGAGTGAATGGCCTTGCTCCCCTCCCTTCCCTACTCCTACCCTACTTACCCTACTTTACCCTGACAAGAGACACACACTCACACACACACACACACACACACACACATATATATATATATATATTTATATATATAGTATTTATTTTACGTACCGTAGCCGTAAGTTACGTACGTGCTTTCTTTAATGTAGTTACTTGTAGTTATTCATCTCATTACTTTCCTTTACTCACTTCCTATTAAAAAACATCAACATCAACGTCGACATCATCAGAGATCAGAGGGGGGGAAATAGAAGAATACTATATTCGAAAGAAAAGAAAAGAAACAAAAAGAGAAGAGAAGAGAAGAGAAGAGAAGAGAAGAGTTTTAAGTTCCCAACCCCAAGGGTCCTTGCACATTGCGCTTTCGTCTCCCACCACCACCACCACCACCACCACCACCACCAAACCACAATCTAAACCCCAATCCTAACCAACATAGCCCAGGTTGGCTGGTTGGTTGTTGGACTGACTGGCTGACTGGCTAGCTGATGATGATGGATTGATGAGGAAGGGGGGAGGTGTTCACTGTTCGCTGTTCGCTGATCACTGATCACTGATCACTGGGCACTGGGCACTGGGCACACAGATTCGCATTGCATTGCATTGCATTGCATGGCATATAGGCATCGACATCACATCGCATCAACATCAAGATCAAAATAGCTGCCCCGTTGTCTGTCCTGTACATCATCTGCCACCACCATGGAAAATCCTCTTCAAAACAACAAAGAAAACTCAAAAACCCACGCACACACAACCACATCCACATCTATCAACAAACCTTACAAGTCCCAATTACATCACGATCCATTCCAATCCCACACCCCGTTCAACACCACTCCACCGCCCGCTACACACACTTCACTCCCCCTCCACATCTTCCGACATCCTCCTCGCCATCCGGGTATTTAAACGTAAACAAAAATCATAAAAGAAAAAAAAGAAGCAAAAATAATTAAGTGTTAGGTGTCGGGTTTAGGTGGTAAGGTGTTAATTAAGATCTGCACCGGGAGGAAAAACCACGGCCCTCCCGCATCGCTGTGGTGCGACTTCCTCCAGCGTCTCGTCGAAAACTTGAGATCCTCCTCGATGTCGACGGTGTCTTTGATCTGAAGAGAATGATGGGCAGGCGATCAGATGGCTGCCACACAGAGACCCCAGTTGATC